GGCCTCTGGTGGTGTAAATCCACACTTTTGAGCTATATGAATGCAAATCCTTAGAATCAGCATCACAATCAGAAAAAAATGCTTTATTGCCAAGTAGGGATTTATACTGATGAAGTATTTGCTTTAGTGGTAAGGCACTACATATAAAAAAAAATGACGGAAGTAAATCTGTAAATACATATGTTGGAAGAACAGAACACAAGTTATTTATGTTTTAAGAATGCCATAATAGAGAAAAAAAACTTTTTGCAAAGAAATAACACCCCGGCAGATAGGTGCAGGAATGAGTTGGACCACCTTGTGTTCAGAGTGACCCAAAACAGTCCAGGTGACAGTGTTATACTGTAGGCACTGCTTACTGTGGTGCAGTGTGTTTTCCTCTTTCTCGTTGGGCACTTTATATTTCAGGAGTTGCTGGCTGAGGTTTCTCTTGTTAAAGTCACCAAGAACAATAAGAAGAGTCATGGTTTGACTTCTACTTTCACAGTATGTGGTCGGCCAGTCATGCGAAATCTCAGATAAAAATGTGAGCACGAACCATGGTGAGAGGCAAAGTAAAATACGGGAGTAAAAAAGCTTACAGTTAAGGATAAAATATTTCAGATTAGGAGAATATTCCTGCTGCATCACTGTCACATCAGTAGACCAGCTGTTGTTGATGTAAGAACAGATACCTCTGCCATTTGGTGTGCAGGATAGTTCAATGTCATGGTCTGCTCTGACAAACCTGAAGTCAGCCAGCTGCAAAACAAGGTGTGGTGTTAGTTTAGACAGCCAAGTCTCCATGACGCATAGAAAAGCAGATGAATAAAATTCTCTTCCTTTCTTAATCAGTGGTTGAAACTCATCTAGTTTTATACAGAGTGAGTGTACACTAGTGAAAAATACTGGCAAAAATACTGTGGGGAATCCCTGCAGGGAAATGTGCACAAGCCTGCTCTTTTTTTCGACCCTGCTCTTTTTTTCTCTCCTCTGGCATCTGACAGCGCAACAAGCAGCGAGTGAGTCCTTCCCAAAAATGTTGTATAAGACCACTAATGATACGAGAAAAGTGGGAATTAAATCCACTTAAGCTGTTCCTTCAATGTTCATAAGCTCTTCTTTGGTAAAAGAGTTGTGCACCTAACATTGAGGCAGTTATAGCAGGTGAAATAAGTATTGAATATATAACCATTTTCTGAAATATATTCTAGAGGTGCTATTGACATAACGTTCTGACCAGATGTCAGTAACAATCCATGTAATCCACACATTCAAAGAAATAAAACCATAGATGTCAAGAAATAAGTTATGTGTAATAATGTAAAGTCCATATGCTGTATGTACATTTTAAATAAACCCGTGGATGTATCTCAAAGCACAACCCCATTGCCTCCTTATATGTCTCCATGGAAAAAATTGTGAAAAGTTAGAGAGATTTAAGGAGATGAATATTGGACCTCCAAAATTGAGTGCGTCGTTCTACTAAAGGTTTGAAAAGCAGAGTTTCACACATCACCTCAATATGTCACATCTCCCTTAGACATTGAAGTACCCCATATACCAGCAATCCACCTACTAGGATTTAAGTTTTCTAAGGAAGATGGAAGCATGTGTCACAAACCCCCCTGTAGTTTCCATATCAAACTAATAGTTTGGCAGATAATGCAGTCATCCTGGGACTGCACTTCGTCCTCCACAAGGAGCTCAACCATCTCAGAGTACCAATTTTCACCTACCAGACAATCATCAGTTCTCTTACTGACCACCAACAGTAGGGGATTCTCAGGAATTGGGAAAAGAATCATCAGTATTCCCCAGTGTGTTCTCTTCCCAGTCCTCTTCTATCTGTACACAAATGTGAGAGGGTAGTTCCTAGGAGCCATCCTCTCCCAGGACCTGTGATGATCCTCACACATAGACGCTTTTCCTAAGGTGTAAGTGTGGACTTGTAAAAAATCTTGTTAAAATAAAAATATATAAAAGACACATCTCATGACATTAGAAAGTTAATGCTTGGGTGAAATACTGTAGGTCTTTGAAATTGACATTCACCATAAGGATACCATAAGTTAAGTTGGTTAAAAAAAACGTGGTAACAATAAAAATGCTTTTGTTTGGAACCATCAAAAAATCCCAATCTCACCCTCAAAGATAATTTGTGGCCAGGGAGTGTTAACAACTTTTTTTCTGGAGAAATGTGGCCATATTTCAACAAATTACTGTAAGAAACATCTCTAAGGATACCCATATCAGTTGGGCCAGGTCACTGAATTTGTTGAAATTTAAAACTTACTATTCTAGTTTCAATTTCGTATTTAACACATACTGTAGAAATGGTATCAATAAAGGATCGCCTACCAATGGTTACATTTCATTTTACAGGTTAACAAAAACTGACATTAGGAATGTCAATCATATATAAGAATAGAAATCATTTCTGATATAATATAAAATAATTAAACCTTGTTTTTACGCTGTACAAAAACATTTCTCCTCTGATAAAAATTTAACTTTTATATTCCTTCTATTGAAGGAATGAGTCCTTCATCCATTTATGAATATTATTGTGCACTGTTTTATTGATTTATCACAAATATGGATTAAATGTTTGACTATAAGGTTACCAATGCACTTAAATGCCAGGCATCCCGGAGAGGCTTTGGCTTCTCAAGCTCCTATATTCAAAAATTTGAAGAGGATTATGTCTATGTCCAGATGTTAAACTCACAGACTGCAGGATTTTTATAAGGGTAATCATTGTTGTGGTATTTCAAGTAACACAGTTAGAGAAATGTCCCATTTTTCCACATTTTTACATAAATGGCATAACATTCATAATAGGATGTCATGGTTAGGGTCACTTTGGATTAAAGCTGAAGGATTCCTTTAGAAGTATTACACCGAACTGCCCCCATGTGGTGAGGCTACGCGCTGCATTAGATAGGGATTTATGGATTAGCAGTTGTTACTGAGAAAATGTTTTTATATATATGTGGAGATATATGAAAGTTTTTCATATGAGATAATAGTGTTATTAGATTTGTTAAAAGATATATTTTAAAACCTGCCATTCTACATTTATGAAAGGATGTTACTTTGTCATTTTCCAATCCTTTGAAAGTTCTTGCCAATAAATCACCTATTTTAAACACCAGTCACACACCCCTTTACCAGTAGGTTCATCAAACAAAATTTGGAGGCTAACTTGTTCAACCCATGTAGGTATTTGACGTCAGGTTAAGAACGGCCCACTGACAAGTAATCTCAAACTGCGGAACTTTCTGGCATAATTTCCACTTTCAAATTCTTCAAATACTTTTGATTTTTGATTTTTAGTTATGCCCAAATCTTTTTGTGGCAAGATTAGATTTCCAGGTGTCTTTCAGTGTCTTCCAGTCACTGGATCCCTCTCCTTTTCATCACATGCTATACCATATAAGTAAAGTATCACTATAGAATTCATACTATACCTTAGTAAAACAATAGAATTCATACCTCTTTGATTTTTTCATTTTGTAACGAACACACAATTTATTGTGGCTTTTAGATATTCTTGTTTAAAAGATAGATAAGATAGACTAACATGAACCAAATTGTATGTCAATGAAGCAGTTAATGAAGGAATCCTTCAGGGTGTCTCTTCCTATTTTCCACATCTAGTTTTCTTTGTAAAATACTTTAAGTTTGGTCAGGTTGGAAGGAAAGTTGAGCTGTGGATTTATGGATCTTTCTCAGTCACCATGGCACTGTCATGATCTTTGCACAGATGACTGGCTTAATTGGTCATTTTATTCACCTGTTTCTAATCACTGCTCATGTGATCCAACTGCCCCTGCCTCTATTTAGGGTGCTTGCATCCAGTTAAACTTAAAAGTTGATGTTGTTTCAACTTAAAAAATGCATGTGTGGTTTGAAACCAATAATTTCTCTTTACCCGGAATTAATAATCCCTTATCACAGAAACAATCAACTAAAACAATTATTTTCCAAGTAAATATCTACTTCAAGTCAAAGGTAATAGTGTCACTAGATGTTTATCCTTCCACATGCTGTAACTCACGTGAATGTGATCTCATTACCTGACTAATTGAAAATAGGTGTGAGCAGCACAGCACCACCATGAGCAAGGCAGCTGTTCCAACTAACGCAGTCTGCTCAGTTTCAGAATAGCAAGGATTATGATGGGCAGGCTTTGCAATCATCAAGAGAAATGGCTCCGTTATCATATGGAGACGATACAAACTCTGAGGAACCGCAGCTTAGCTTTAAAAAAAAGATAGGATCGAACTAATGATCTTTTAACAACTAAAGGTCAAGCTCTAAGTTATCATGAATTCTAAATCCTGTCTGTGGTCAATATAGTTGGATCAGAATTATGTTTTTATTCTTTGAAATAAATACAGTTTTACATTTTTGTCACTACTTTATTCCAAATTACATTTATACTTGTATGTAATGGTACAGATTTAATTTTTCCAAATAGAAAAAATAGATTATAGAAAAGCATAAAACTTGTTTATGATCTGTTAGAAGTTATAGTTTTACTTTGTATGAATGTAGTTTCTTTAAGGTAAAAAAATTTCTAGTGTGTTTCTTGGTCTTTATGAGGCACAAAAACCTTTAAAGAAACAAATAAAGCCTTTACAAAAAAGATACTATCTAGACTTAGATTGATGACTTAAAGGTTGGTCATATTCACAAATTAGGTGGAATAGCTGTAGTGGGACAACATTTAGAAAACAAGTGAACAGGGTAATAATTCTTGAACTCTTGAAAATATTTAAACATGGAAAGCGCCCATTTTATTTTTATATACTTTTGTATGTCCTGTGGGGCTCTCTGTCTGTCTCCTGGAAGTTCAGGTTACCTGGATAGAGTTACAAGCTTTATAAGCTTCACAAACTGAGACTGCCTTTTAGTGTAATGAAGATACCCCACACACATTGCCACGGTGACCAGTGCTGTTCTCTATCCAGTTGCTGAAAGCTTTTCCAGGCAACTTAAGACGAGAGAAAACAAGGTGCACAGAGGAATCCATCTGGCTGGTCAAAAAGGATTGAAGTAGGTTAGTATCTTTATACAAAGCTCCACTGGAACCTCTACTTAATTTTCAAATTCTCTTACACAAAGAATCACGGTGATTATTCACCTCTTGTCCCACAGCTTACATGGCTGAGCCTGGGAGCACAAGTAGAGGTAACAGTGGTGCTATGACCACCGGGGGTGCAGGAGGAACGCGTGTCCTGCAGGAACCCTCTCTAAAGGCCGGAATGGTGCTGTCAGATGATAGAGTGGACTTCCTTCGAGAGCAGGCCTTCTGTGTGCTACGAGTGAAAACAGATAAGTGGAACCGCTTTATTGCCTCAGAAGAGAATCAAAAGATTATACTGGATTTTCTGGACCAAAGCTGGACAAGCAGGCTGCTTCTCTTCACTGGACCTGGTGGGACACTGCATGCAGGGGATGTTCAAGTAAGAAATGCACACATGTAACAGATAAATATATTTTACATAAGAACAGAGCATAAAAGTTTAAAACCATGCTTTTTGAAAGTTCCCTTGGGTTTATGGTAACAAAAATCTGATTATGGGTGTTTAAATATTACTCTACAAATTAACAAATTATCCAAGATGCAGATGCATTCATCAGTGTTATTATTTATTCTCTATCTAATGCCAATATTTTTTGAAATAAGTCACTACTTATTTCTGGTGCTTTCAATGCTGTTGAAAGCATTCCTACTGTTTTTCTCCCAATGAAGACATCTCCACCATGGAGGACCAAGCTGCTGTGTGTAATAAAGAAAGGTGTAAAGAAAATTGACCAACAAGGTTTCAGGCACCAGTTCTGGTTTGGAGAAGTACCTGGATACCCAATGGAGCACCTGCCTATAGTCATCTCTGAGGTTGGAAACTTTATGGGTCTATTTATTACCCCTATGGAGTACATGATGATACAGGGATACACATGTTGAAAGTTATGTAATATGAATGTGTTTTACAGAATTTTCACTTAACTTTGAGGGGGTGCTACAAAAGGGGAATGTAAGGGTTCCCAGAGTCAGCTTATAGAAATACATTAAAATACTTTCACTTCTACTGTCTCATTCCGCTTAGTGTGTTTCCTTTTTTGTCAATTTACAAAAGTCCACTCTTGTAACAATTTTAATAATTTTGTTCCTCAAACTTTCATATTTATATTTATTCTATAAATATAATTTTATTGTGATTGTTCATATTCATTCCCTTCCTATCTAAATTCATTTAAATACAATCTAATTTAGCAGTTACTCTCAAAAATATACAACAGTTTGGGAAAGGCCTGTAAAAAGTGTGTTTTTAATTTCAATTGAGAATCTTTGAAAGACCTGAAACACATCCCTTCTGTCTTACTAAGCTTGACATTTATGAAAAGAAGAATGTGTACAAATTTCGATTGCCGGATGTGCAAATCTGGTAGACACAGGAGATTTTCCTGTTTTAATTGCGTCAATAGGTGGTTTTACAGTGTCATGATTTTGATGAAAAACAGCATTGCACAAACTGCAAAATTTGACATGTAAAGATTTTGCAAAGCATGTATCCCTTTCTGTCTACTACTCAATAACAGTTTGCGTTGACCTATTACATGAAAACGATTCGATTAAACGTAAGAATAAAACTGTAAAAAAAATTTGTAAACAACCTTTGCACAGTATTCAGTCTCTAAATGCTGTATATGCTTGAATAAAGCAAGAATATCTTTGAGTGTGTGTTTATGTTTGATTAAACAAATCAGTCCAAAATGACATTATGAACAGTCCATGTCCCATTACAGGTTCTGGTGTGTGTGCTGTCCTATGGGCATAATCGTGAGGACTGGCCACGGGTAGTTTCTGAAGACATCTATCACCACCTGGAGAGGTTCAGAAGCAAGGTGGTGACTCTGAGAGGCCGTGCAGAGGGAAGAACCCTGCTGCCTCTTCCACTGTGTTTGGAGAGAGCACAACGTCAAGATATTGTTTTTAGGTTAGAATGCCTTACCATGTTACTGTCACCAGGAATTAAAGGCTTATTTTTTTGTTTTGAAAAAACAACCCCAGCCATTTTACTGAAACACTTTTTTTCAGTAATTGTTTTGACTTATCTAAAAGCTTTTTGAATGTATTAATTTTTTAATCAATAACTTTTAAAATAACAAATTTAAATATAGGTAATTAGTGTGCGCCATTGATGCAGGGGTTAAGTACATAACCCATTTGCAAAGGCTTTGATCCTCAATCCACTGTCAAAGGTTGAAGTGTCAGCCTGGTGACCTTTGTCGCATGTGTTCCCCCTCTTTCTAATCCAACTTACTGTCTGCCTACATCTTTCCCTTTTCCTGTCTGCCTACTTTCAAAAATAACAAAACAAATGCTACTAGATCATAAGAATTGGGAGAAACAATCTTGCCTATAGGTAATTAACAGAATAAAAATGAATAATTATATTATATCTGGATAAAAAATGTGTTTAATGCCTTTTTAGATTCTGATTCCTTGGAACCAAAACAGTGTATTGCAGAATACTAATGACAAGAAGGAGTTTTAAAGATTAGAGAGATTGATTTCATTTTCTCTCCCCATCTTACAAATATATATTATAGTTTAACTAATTGCATGAATGATTCCACTATAAAGTCTTAACTATCTTCTGTTAATCTGTTTAACTTACTTTTAATTTACTTTTAGACTATAGAAATCATTATAAAAAAATAAAAAAAACTAAGGTCCTGGTGCAATTGTACATAATAAAATATGATGGATTTAGGCTGTGCATCAAGACTTGGCTTGTTTTTTTATTTTTTAATTAATGTTATCTAACATTAGTTTGCGTTGTTGTATGCACAATAAAAGAAAACCAGCCAGGTTTGTGATTTCTGAATATATAAGTAGGCTTTGGAATTTTTCAGATCATTTTCTTGTTGTGCACTTCAAACAATCTATTATCCATAAAATAGTGTTTCAAATTTTGTTTAAAGAAAAGCAACCGCCACCATCTTGACAGAGGTTTTGCAGAGAACATTTTCACAGCCTCTTCTCTCTTTTTATTACTTTGGTTTCGCTTTAAAGGGAAAATATTTTTGTAAGGGTTTGACACTGCTTAATTATTTGATTATTATATGTTGAATAGTTTTGTCAGAACTTATTTGGTTCACATTGAGAAAATTAACAAAATGCTATATAGTAAGTTGAAAATTTCTCACCTTTACCGCACCCCAAATCATTCAAACGTGGCTATCCAGAGTAAAGAAATAGCTGCAGTTTTTAAACTCTGAATTAGAATGCATTCAATTTTTGGTGAGCATGGTACCAGATGGCTTTTTTTATATGTAGTTTGTTAACATTACCCCAAATGTGTTCAATATTTCACAGAACCACCTACAGTACAGTAATATTTTAGTTTAACTAACTAGTTTGTGCAAAGTGTTCAATAAAGTGAACTATTAGCATTTGGAATTTGTCATGGTTTGTGAAATATTGCTGTTGTTAGCTAATGTACCTTCTCAGCTAATAAGCAGTTTCCAAATCAGTTTGGACAGAAAAAATAATAAGACTGGTAAAAGGTGGTCTGGTTTTCTTTTTGTTTACTGGATATTGTCAACAACCAACTTACTCAAGCAGTGGATTCCTACTTGAAGTCTGCAAAATGTGTTTTCATGTTTCATAGCTTACATTTTTATTTTTATCCTCACTGACTGCTTTCCTGTCTGTCCCCTGCAGCCCAAGTGGATGGCCGCTGGACCATAGCTTGTTATACTCTATAGAAACTTTGATAGTTCAGTGGTCTGGACAGATTTGGGATGTGCTCAAAAAAGACTCTGGCATGCTTCTACTTCAGGGAGACCACCCAGGCCCCAACGTGGAACTCCAGTTTTGGGCAACTCAGAGGGAAAACCTAAAGGGCATCCAGGCACAAGTAATTAAATACATCCTGTTAGAAAAAGAATAAAAAAGTGAATGGGTGACTGATGGAAATATATCACAAGGAAGGAATAGACACACAAATGAGTACTTTCAGAAATTAGTAAAGGGGATATTTGTCGGGTTGAACAATTACAAAGTGGTTGACGTAGAAAAAAACCCAGTAAGAATTACCGGTACTCATATGAAAAAGTAGAGTGATTAAAACTGCTAAACTGAAAAAAAATACTTAAAAAATCAGAGGATGTTAATGCTAGTATTGTCACTTAATGTTATCTGTTATATGTCCTTAATGATAGCCTTTTTGCATGTGAATAGAAACAGTCACAACATTAAATTGTGTTTTTTTTTTTTTATTATTGTCTAATTTTTAGATCCAGAGCTCCAAAGTGAATCAAATCATAGAGATCCTGAGAAGAGTAGAGAGCAGTTACTACTCTGCCTTTAAGGATGTATGTGTCAAAGTCAATCAGGGTAAATAACCTTACATTGACAATAAACTTTTTTTCACTTTGATGATATGTTCCGCAAAAATTCAAAAAAATATATCCACTGGACTTGGTTTCCAAGATTTGAAGACGTTTCGCTACCTTTCCAGAAAGCTTTCTCAATTCAAATGTCTGGATCCGCAGTGAGTTTGAGTCTTATATAGACAAAGCCTTGTATCGCTTGGAAACATGCAAATGTTATATTTTTTTAAAATATTATTTATTTTTTTTAATTTTTACGGAATGCCTATGACTACTGAGAACCTTCACCAGCATTTGATGATATGTGCTACTTTGTGTACACCTAACATCTGAATACAATTGAATTTTTTTTTACCTGAAATAAGCCAAGGGAGTTCCTTTACTTTTGCATATGAAAATATTGCTACCCTAAAGTAACAACAATAATAGCATTTACTTATACCTGAAAATCTGAAAATCTTCTCTGTATATCTACAGTACATGTTCATTTACCTTCATGAAATGTGCTTTATCAGGCTGGGGCAATTTTAACACAATATGCCTGTATAATCCATTTACACTACTACTACAGCTGTGGTTGAAGCAGAAGATATAGATCTGTACCTACGGCCTCTAAGGAGACAGATCTGCAATCTGGAAGAGAGGAGTTTTCCACAGCTGGAACCTCTACTTCCTCCTCTTTTTCACACTCTTTGTCTCATCTGGAAACATTCCCAGTACTATTGCACACCACAGCGAATGGTTGTCCTCTTGCAAGAGTTCTGCAATCTGCTCATAGAAAAGGTAATTAGTGTTTAATGCAGGCCATATATGTACTGTACAAGAGAAAGAAGAATTTATGAATTTTTAACTAAATGACATGTTTCTGCTACAGGCATTTGCGTACCTTATTCCTGAAGAACTTTTTAAGATGGAACTTGAAGAGGGGATGGAGAGAGTACAAATAAGCATCTCAGTTCTGCGTTCCTTCAAGGAACTGTTTCACACTTACCGCCAGCAGATACCTGCTTACTACAGTAATGAGAAGAGCGTCAAGCTGTGGGACTTTCCTACAACACTTGTCTTCAAACGCTTGGACTGCATCATTGAAAGACTCCTCATGATTGAGGTGTGTGGATTCACGGGCAGAGCTTTGTTTTATACTTGTTGGTAGAAGGCAGGACTGTAGCTTTTAGTCCTTAAAAGGTAGCAGAGGAACTGTATTGGTATTTGTGAGCAAAAGTGTTGCAAAGACCTTTTAAAATACAAGCATTTATTACTATTATTCTAAATCTTTTGCTTCCACTATTGACTTTCTGATGTAAAGTATATTGGAAATATTAACTTTATCAAAACCTTAACATACAAGGGTCACATTAAGAAAAAAAAATATTATTTAAGCAGTGCCTGAAGCACAAGTCAAATTTGGATATCAGACCTTCTCCAAAAAATAGCTCTAGATTCCCCATATATTGTGTAATCTGATTACCTAATTAAAATGTATTATTAATCAGAATCAGACATATTTTAATAATCCCAGAAGGAAATTACTTTTGTTACATGCTCTAGATACAAACATTTATATGTATATACAACTAACCACAATTAATGATTTAATATATCCCTTCCAAGTAAATTTTAACTGAATATAAATGCCCTCTGCGTCTTTATGTGCTATTGCAAATTTAACTGCACACATTAAACCCATTAGACGCTACGACATAGACTATTTGAGCCACTGGTATACTTTAAAACGGAGGTCTTCAAGAGGGGGTCCGCGATTCCTAGAGGGCCCACAGAGGTACTGCATGGGGGTCGCGAACATTTTTGTTAATTCCTTTTTTTATATTCCCCCCAGCAATTATTTCCACTTATTGAAACGTCTTTAAATACACATTAACATGAATTCAACACACTGTAGTAAACAGATAAATGGAGGCAGAAGATGTCTTTCAGCCATCAATGCATATATTCAGTGACACACAGGAGCTCTGTTACAACACACCTGTCCCATCAACAATGAATCAGAATCAGAAATGCTTTAATAATTCCAGGGCGACATTATTTGTGTTACTTTACTCCATATGTAATAGAGTGACTATAGGACCAGTTTGATATACCACAATTTCATACAATATATATAATTAGGGGTTCCCCGCTCCGCCTTGCCATCAGTTTGGGGGTCCTTGGCCTGAAAAACCGCTTTAAAGTATACCCAGTGAACTGTACCATATATCCAGGAAAGCATTCTACAGTACATCACAGGTATGTCTTTTTCTGTTTTATGTTTTTGAGGGGTACAACAGGAATTTTAATGTTTCAAAGAAAAATCAGAGAAAACTTACTTTTGGATAGTTACTATAATACCAAAAAAATATTTACACAGTGTGCCTCTTGCAAGGGCATTTACTAGGTATGTTTGGTCATTTTAGAACAGTGTCAAAAAATATAGATCTAGTCTGTTTCCACTTAGTTTGAAGCTTTTAGATTTCCTTTCTGCCTTTAACTTCTAGCATTGTACAAATACAACAAGATGTCATGCTCCCAAAAACAGTACTTTTATTCTGCAGAATTTTACTGTAACACAAATAAAACAAATCAGGCCTGAAAAAGACACTTTTGTTCATCTTTCTGGGTTTTTAGAGTTATTTTCTTTGAGTGAAATGTTTTAGTTATGTGAATCAAAAGTTATGTTTTTCCTGTTTTCATAAAGTAAATCATTTTGTATTTGCATTTATTTTATTGCCTTGTTAGTTTTATTCAATTGCTACTTTTTATGTCCAAAATAGGAAATTTTTGCTACAGCCCTGGACTTTCTGAAGTTGGAAAAGGTTGAACTTGGTGGATCAAGAGGAAGGATCTTAAACGAGATGGTGCTAAGCATGACTGAAGAGTTTCATGACCGCTGGCGGACCCTTAGAGAGAGCAAATACGACCCCTTTGACTACACTAATGATGTAAGGTGGTGTCAGGCTGTCGCTATTGTGCTTGATGTCACACTGCTATTTATTATTATTTGGCTTCAGAGGGGTATTATTTACAGTGATTTAAATTTTGCATTGACAAGCCGAGCCAAATAATGAAAAACAACAATTAGATGTTCTTTTTCAGGCCAGCAGTGTAGTTATTGAAAGGTAGAAAGGAAAAGCAGTTGCTAAGCAACATGCAAGAACCATTGACTGGAGACATTATTAATCAGGGCATCAATATTTAATTTACTACATGTAAATATTATTTTACAACAGCTTCCAGTGTGACTCAGAACAGAAACTCGATCCAAATTGATTTGTGTCAAAATAAATTTTGCTTAAGTACAAGCTGCTGCAGCCAAAACTGATTAAGCTGAAGTGTTTCTGAAACACTGCACTGAAATTGAAACTGAGGGGAATGAAAATAACACAACAGTATACTGCAAGTTCAGTCAGAACTTTTAAACACCCAGGTAGTTCATTCACAGCAGTATCCATCACTTCCTTTTTCCAGGATTTTGTGTGTCAACACAGACGTTTTGTAGAGCAGAACAAAGATTTTGACCAGAGGCTGGGGACTGTCCTCAATTTGGCCTTTCAACATTCCAAAAGCCTGACTTCAGCATTTAAGGTAAATATATTCTTCTTTAACATCTGGAACAATCCAAGTAAACTGCCCAATATTTCATTGTTTGTATTTTATGATTAAATTAATGCAAGTAGACATCTTCTAAATTGTTTGCAACATTAAAGGGGTCTAGTTACATACAATGATTACAATAAATATAACTATGAAAAAGACAAAAAACATATCTATCTACCTAACTGAAGTTAAACAATTTACACCAAGCAATTTTCATGACAATGTTTGCTTAAGTCAAACAAGGCAAGTTTACCTGCCATCTAACCTATAATAAGATGATTATATAAAAATGCTTTTTTTTTCATCCTTTTTTCTTTTCTATTGCATATGTTTTTAAATTTGCTATCGAGCATGTGAATTTCTGTTATCAGGGATTAATAAAGTATCTAAAGTCTGTCTGTCTGTCTGTCTGTTTGTCTGTCTATCTATTTTCAATTTTAGGCACTCTAATAAAATGTTCAGATCAGCAGTTAAGATGGTGCACTAAGGTCTGATAATACCAGCACTGTGGTTCTTTCACAGTCTGCATTTATACTGATGTCATCGAACATTTAATCTCCATCCTATCACAAGTGCAGAAGCCTGATTGGAAGACTTCAAACTTTATTTATACAGTAGGAGCTTCTCCAAGTTGCTCTTTTTCGACAGTGGTTTGTTAATTGGTTTCGTCCTTTCCGTTCTGAAGGAAAACACCAGGCAAAAGGGGCATGGTTATTATTAATATGTACGTAAACTGGAATCTTTACCACAGTTTTCTTAAGGAAAGTTGTGGGTAAAACATAGAGAAAGCAGGAGAAGAGCTTAGTAGGTGTTTTTAAAAGCTTTGTAGTCTTTTTGGTGAAACTGGGCAATTTGGTAAAATTAGTTCTAATCGGAGACAACTTTGGTACTGGACTTCATGTTCAGTAGAATGTCACTACTGTAAATAGCAAATGTTTGTAAACTATGGTAGAGTGGAGTTCAGATGCTACAGTCACAGGAGGTTTTGTTAGCCTGTCAACTGTGGCAAAGTAGGCCAGAGCATTGTCAATGTTATTGCTGATGAACTCAAAGAATAAATATGGTCTTGCATTCTTCAGTTGTACATTTTATCTTTACGGTCTCTCTTTATGGATATTATAGTAAACCTGGAGTTCAGACTTTTTAGCTTTTCGACTCTCCCTTTTTGTCATTTTTGACTGGTGGAGCACTTTTTCAGAGACATTTCTTCACAGAAACAAAGAAAACATCACTTTAGTTGAAGCAATTGAATTTTTTTTTTCGATTTTGTTTCGAGGCTCTGGAAGGGAAGTTATTCACCAGCTTATCGACAGAGCAAAGTGGAAGTACGGTGGAAGAGTCAATCAGGTTTAAGGTTTAATTAGCACCATTCTTAAAGGTGCTAATTAAATGAGCAGGCCACACCGAAAAGAAGGCTGAAGGAGGCGTGATGCTAGAATACACAAGACGGGCTGCAGAGGCGGGACAACGGCGAAGCTAAGAAGGAATTACCACAGAGCGCTGATCCCATCAATCCTGCTATCCAACGTCCGCTCACTGGATAACAAAATTGATAGTCTCCATCTTGAACTCTCTTCAAAAAATAGAGAAAAGCAACTTTTGCGCCGTCAGCCAGAAAGTGCCTTGGCTTCATTCATCAGTACTGGACAATGCTGTTAGCCTGGAGGAATTCACACTATACCGCACTGAGAGAAACAGTAAACCCAGCGGTAAGGCTAGAGGAGGCGTAAAAATTCTAGATCGGTCGCCAGCTTCTGCTCTCCAAACACCAAGTTTCTGACTGTTAACCACAGAACGTTCTGCCCAGAGAGTTCACTGTTGGAAGCATCACTGCTGTTTATTTACACCAGGAGGATGTGGCAAGGCATATGGACGTTCACAGACTACAACACACCCTACCCCCCTGGTAGATGCAGCTGATGCTGACTTCCTAAATGAACTAAACAACTTCTTTGAAAGGCGTGAGGCACTAAACAGCACTTCAGCAATGAAAGCCATTCCACACCAGGGAGAGGAGGCACTCAACTTTGCCATAGCTAAAGTGAGGAAAACTCTGAGGAGAGTCAACCCAAGGAAGGCCCCAGGGCCTGATAACTTACCTGGGCGGGTGTACAAGGAGTGTGAAGGTCAGCTGGATGGTGTCCTCACAGACATTTTAACACCTCGCTGGACCAATCCATAGTACAGGCATAATTTAAGTCTGCCACCATCATTCTGCTCCCAAAGAAGCCTCAGGTCACCTCACTCATTGACTACCAACCTGTAGTACTGACTACCATCATGATAAAGTGCTTTGAAAGGCTGGTCTCCAGTCTCCCCCAAACATTTGACCCGTCCCAGTTTGCCTACCGACGGAACCGCTTCACTGAGGAAATCATCTCCTCTGCTCTTAACCTGAGTCTAGCACACCTGGAGGAGAAGAACGCCCATGTGCAAAGCTTTGCATATTTGCAACACACATATTTAATGCTCTGAACTTTCATATCAATGAGGTTTTGCACCATGCCTGTTCTCCCACACTGTTTACATTTGATCACTGCTGCACTTTATAGAATGGAAATGTTCTGAAAGCTGTACAAAATGAAATTTTGTTTTTATACACTCTTTGTATATGAAATGCATAAAGTCAAATTAAAAGTCAAATAATGTTAACTGATGGGAATTACTATAAGTAGCCCGCCATCAAACCTGTGAATATAAATCACAATGGTGTGTGGACATTATGCAGTTTTTTATGATCTGGAGAAGAGAGATAGGCAGAATCTAGTATCCAAAGAGATTGTGGAGAAGCATCAATATACAACAGATCTCCAAGGTCCAAAAAACTTGTAAGTTGCTCCGACAAACCGCATTTCACCAGATTTTGAAAACCTAACCAGTATTTAAAATAAACTCCCAGCTTCATTTCTTTGTAGCATCTTAACAAGATATTTCACATGGATTTAAAAGTAAGGGGTGTCATCAACTGAAATTCCAAACATTTACATAATATTGCAAGTAGAGAGCTACTTGTGTTTTATCCATATATATCATCCATTTCCTCTTTTTTTATGCAAACTTTTACACCTAATCTTGTACTTTTCCTATTTCTTTTGAACTTCCAGACTGCTACTAGACATATATCATGTGTAAATTCATTGTTTGCCCATTGTTGCATGCACAATATTGTATCTCTGGTCATGTGGTCTTGTTATTGTAAATATACACAAAGTGATTTCTTCTAGCGAACGAATAGAACAAAAAGTATTATTAAAAAATAGAAATTAAATAAATGAAGCCGAAAGTGCACCTTTATTTTATCAGAAGACCTTTGCAAACAGAGTATGCCACTGGCATAGACATTAGTAAGGTTATAATGATACAGTAACTAGGCCCCTTTAATCAAGTAGTTTTTATTGTCTTAATTTTCCCACCGAGTGTGTCATTATTTTTTTTATGTGCTTAAATCATTCAAATAAATCTTGTTTCCTATCCAGCTGCTGAAAATATTTGGAAGTCTTCTGGAGAGACCTAGACTCAAAAAGTTATTTTCTACCGATTATAATACATTGCTGGCCATGTTAAACCAGGAAATAGATCACTGCCAAGTTTCACTGGATCAACACAGAGAAGGGGTGAGAGGCTAAAGTGAACATTTTCTTTTTAATGATGTTTAAATATTCGCCTGCTGACTTATTACCTTTTAAATTTGATCTAATGTCTAAATACTACATACTTTTTACTGTTTTATAGTATTAAAAATCTCTGAAGCAAGAGTGTCTCAAACTAAAACTCAACCCTCATGACATTGTCCTGAATTTTTTTAAATGTCACCTTAACTCAGCAGACCTTGGTCATTAGCAAACTTGGGTCTGTCTTAATATCCTACTGAAGAGCTAATTAAATGATTTAGATTTACTGCTGTGTGAAGAGGGACACATTTATTAGATTCAGGACATTGGCTCATGTGTGCTGGGCCTAGAACCCCTTAAAGGGTTATCACAAATACTGTTAAAACCAGATATTTATATACTCAGTAAGACTGATTTTTTTTCTTACTAATGGAACTTTTTTAGACAAAAAGTTTCCCTTTTAGATCTGTCAAACATTTTATATTATATCTCCATAAACTTCTAGAAATGTTTTTTTTTTTTTTTTTTTCACAGCTTGTATTTAAGTAAGGCTTGTTTGTTTAATCGTTTGCTTTTTTAGGTTTGACCTCAAACTTTTCCATGTGCTGTGGTTTTGGTTCTCTTTAAGTTTTTTTTTTTGAGGTTTCATTGGAATTATTTCCACTTTGTGTTATTCTAGTAGTTTTTGGTTGCCTTTGACTTCTTATGTATCTCTTTTTACCCTCTGTTGCCCTCTTGTGTCAGTCTCCTTCTCTTAGCTCCCTTTTAGATTCTTCTGTCCACACCTGCTCCCAATCTGCTTATTAGCCTGGTCTTTGTTCAGTCTCCCATTTTTACTTATATTGTTTGCTGGTTCCTCGTTGTTTCTTTGCCCCAATGTGTGTCTTCCCTGACATCTCCTGGATTTTGGTTTTCTGTATTTTCTGACTTTTGCTTCTCCTGCCCTTTGGAACATTATTAAAACAGCAAAACTCATCTCTGCCTCCTTCCGTCTCTGCCTTTGTTTCTCACTTCTTCCAAGCCTGACACCATGGAAGTCAAATCAGGACCTCGATGGTCTCTCCTTGACAGATTTTGTTACCCTTAATTCATGTTATATCTGTTATGCTAGTGTACTTATGGGCATTGTCAATTTGAGTCAGTTGTTCCCGAGCTTTATCTAAGTAGCTGCTGCCTTAAGACATTGCTTCAGTATTTGCACCTAATCCTCTTTTTGGCGATATGGGCAACAGTCTTTACTGTAACAAAATAGCTCCTCATCATGATGCTGCTATCCTTATATTTGAAGTTGTTTAACAGCTTGCCAGCTTTACCTTTTGGCATTAACTCTACTTATAATCTGAAGACCATAGGACATGCCTACAAAAAGGGTTGACAAACATTCAACTGGCTTTTTATGGTCCTATTTGAGTAATGACTGCCTCCTCTCTTGGAGGTCAGTTAGTCCAAGTGCAGTTAAGTTCTCTTAATAGTTTCAGCCAGCATTTGAAAAAGGTCTGACAGATACATTTCATACCAAACACCTTCATCTCTGGAACAAAGAAAACATCTAGTTTCTTCTTTAATTTTGTCAAAGGATGAACCAGAATTATATATATTTAGATTTCTCCTTCTGATGTTGTAAGAGATCGCTCCTAGACAGCACTAGAAAATGCTTTTTTCGAGGTGTTGTCTCGACAACCTACAAGTGTGCCTCTATTAGCCTAAAGGCTTATAAAAGCTGAAAAGAATCATTGCATTCTTGGAGGGCATTATCAAAAATAAAGTTTTAGCATTTCTAAAATACAAAAAATGAAAATTTTCAAAAGCCTATAACTTATGTTTAAAATGAAAACTTTATATATCTGTTTTATCATCATGCAAGAAAAAACATTAGGGCTGAATAAAACAAGATCATTAGACATATTGATCATGTCGAATTCTATTTCAGCTGCAGTCTGATTGTGCAGTTCTGGGAAAGAACATGCCGTCTGTGGCTGGGAACCTTAAATGGTCACAAGAACTTCGGAGCCGCTGCCTTACGAATAGAAGCAACTTCTGCCAGCTGCCTCACATGTATGAACCAACTCTCTCCACCAGGCCAAGACATAAATAGATAAATGCTATATTGCATGTAGCAGATCTGATTTTTGGTTTCTCGTACTTTTAAGCTTTAGAGGGCTTCACACAGAAGGGCTTAACATAAAAACATTTTGATTTTGGGTAAAAAAAATTATATTGAACATAGAGCTGTTCTTTTTCTATTTTACAGGCCACTTGGGTGTGCTGAGGCAGATGAGGTTCTCAGAAAATGTGAACATGCTCTTGAGAGTTTGGAAAAATATGATGAGGAACTGTTGACAGAATGGGCTCAGGGGTTGGACGATGTCTGCCAAATGCATCTCAAAGAGCCACTCTTAACCCTGGACTCTGATACAGGCCTTTTCCAGGTCAACTTCAGTCCTATTGTAAGCACAAGGAACAATATATATTCATTTTAGAAGTATTTATAAATTATATCATGGTGCTTTAATTTTCACTTTCTGTACAAAATCAACTATGTCTGTTGGAGGGAAGATTAGTATTGCATAGCAACTAACTCTAAGATCTAGTTTTTCCTACTTTTCTAAACTAATTAATTTGTGTTTTGCATGATTTCTGAATAGCTATACCAGTAAGAGCAGGAGTAAGAATCACTAAGTGAAGGTTGGCTACCATTATGAAGTTATAGAGGATTTTTAAAAAGACCTTTTCTGTAATTTAATGTACTTTTAGTAATGTCAAAAAAATAACTAGAGTGATCCAAGTTTCCACTAGCCCGAATCCCTCCCCTTCCCTTTCTGGCTGATCTTTGCTGCACTGTCCCCTTGCTTAAAATATAAACGGATTGGGCAATTGGGAGATATTTCCACTTCCAAAAAGGAACAAAAAAAAAAAAAAACAGCAAGTAGGCCTTTCCTACTATTTTTTCAACACATGTCGTAGTGTAAATAGATTATTAAGGTAAAGAAATACCAAAAATGTTGATGGGTTTAGATAAAGATTTTTAAAGAAAGTAATTTAAGGCTTATATTTTCAGCCTCTTTTAGCTGAATGTTAAAAAGTGCTATCCCTACCATATACTTTCTAGATGTTGCAATGAGGTGAGAAATAATTCTTTTGCTAGACTATTTTACAGTAAAATAAAGCTATGATACAGAGAAATGTCCTACTCTGGTACAAATAGGGGATATTTTATTTCATTTTAACTGTGAAAGCTATATTTCATTGTCCAAATTTTACAAAAAGTAGACTTGCTGAATGAAGTTAAATATTTGTAAGGCTACAGCTGACATTTCATTAGAAGCATTACTGTTAATCTGACTGTAGGCTACCTAATTAAGTAAATATGGTGACAAATTAATAAGAAAATGTAGGCTTGTCACACTCATATTGTGAGAAAAGAAACTATGAGGTATAATTCCACTTAAATGAAATCTGCAACAACATTTCTCTGGATTTTGAACTCTTTGTTGCAACAAAAAGATAAGTGTTTTAGACAACATTGTTGGAATGGTACATTTCTTTTTCTTTTTTTTACTACTATGAATAATTGCTCTATTTTGGTTTTAAATAAAAGCAAGTAAATCATGTTATACCTTAAAACTGGAATATTATTACTTAAGTTAATTACATGTGGATTATGTACCCATTTCTGGATCACAAAAATGGGATCTACCATACAGTTGTGTATGGTAGTCCATTTTGTCTCTCTTTTTTGTAGTGTTTTGCAAAGAGCTTATTTTCAAATTACTTCGCTTTGCAAATGTCTTCTGCTTCAGTGAACTTTTGCTTTGCTTGCTTGCTTCCTTTGTGGCTCACTTATATTAGTGGGTCTAGGGACTCCAAAGAAAACTGTTTACTGTAAAAGGGTTTATATTTATATTTAATGCACTAATGTTATACTAACTTCCACAGCTGACGGGTGTGCTGAGGGAGGTCAAATACCTGACAATTCTAAAGATCCAAAACATTAACAAAGCAGCTCTTCATTTGTATTCTGAAAAGGAAAGATTATACCTGGTGGGTCAAAAGCGTATCGGTGGCACCATATACATCATGACGGCACAGTTGCTTAATATTTGGATAGATATTAAACGTGTCAAATGTGGTAATATCTTTGCCTGTTTCTGTCACCTAGTACACACAGACACTGACCTTGGTGACCCAATGGTACAACAAGCTTAAAAGCACCATCTTGGACGTAGAGCTGAGGCTAGTTAAAGATGAGATGGACAGGGTGATACAACAGCTGGAACCAGCGCTCACAGAGCTGACCTGGGATCAGGATGACCTCTGGGACTACATTAAGAGTACACAGCAACTGGTCAAGGTACTGATTATTTGGAGTAGATCTTAGGGAGACATTCCATCTTTCTGTCTGTCTGTCTGTTTCTATCTACAATACCAAGTATGATTTGTTTCCCTCTTTAGGATTGATAACTCATATAATTTCATAATTCTCTTTTTAGAACATTTCGAGTCGGGTCCAGAGTAGCAAAGCTAATGCTGAAGCCATTCAAGCTCTCATGGTTAAATTCAGCAGCCGGGCTTTTATTACCAGAAAGAGACTTGGCTCTACTCTCATAGACTTCTCCGAAATTGAGGACAGTGTTTCCAAACAACAGACTCTCACTCTTGGTACAGGGGAGCAGATACATAAACTGGTGCAGGTATGCTTGCATTTTACTCCTTAATTGAGAGAACATATACTCAGATCAACCAAAACTCCACCCATGTTACTATTAGCTTTTAGCACATTCCCTAATTCTGAAGAAATGCACTTCAATAACAAGATACTCACTCTTTCATGATCCAAAGAGGAGGAACACTGGATTGGTGTATCTGATAAATTATGACTGATCCTTTTTTTAGACAACACATTGATCTTTATGAAAACATTTGAAAAACTATGTAACATTATCCATTCATTCTGTGTTGATGTACTGTTCCTTTGCTCATCTACCATAACAAATCTTTATAAGCACATTAAAGAGAGTACAGTACTTTAGAGGTGTTTTATTTATCCTATATCTTATTCTCAATGGGATTCAGGAGAACCAGTCTCTACTAGGTGTGACCAATCAGAACAGCCCTGAATGGCGTTTATACACAGAGTATGTGGACCAGATGATCGTGACGGGCTTCTTCAACGCGATACGCTGCTCCCTGCAGTACTTTGTGGACAACACAGATGCAGCTCAGCGCATTACACCTCTCTTTGAAATAAAACTGATGCTCAGTAATAATGAAATGACCTTTGACCCTTCATTGGATGTGAGCCTCAGTGGAAACTTTTATGGTATTGTGGACAAAATGGTGACCAACATCATAAACATGGCATCCTTCATTTCCAGAGTGGCAAACCACAAGGATCTGGATAACTATCAGGTATTGTACCTATTAGTGAGAGTTCTACATGGTTTAGCAGCATCATAGAGAAAAAGAAACGCAGCAGGGACAACAGGTCCGGGGAAATGTAATGTGTGGTTAGGATATAAAAGAAAATTTCAAACCTTGGACATCGTACACAGAACTCTTTAGCTATTTATTCGATTACTATACCTTGATTTTTTTCACTGTAATGAAAGAAGCTGGTGCTTGTGTAGAGGAGGCATGGGTGAGAGCCAGAGTGCACCCTGGAAAGTGTGTTAATCTGTCAAAGGGGAACAAAGGCACACAAGATGCAAAAAAAAAAAACAATCATACCTATAGACAATTTATGGTAAATAGCTAACCTAACAAATAGATTTGGGCCTTGATAAGAAGGGAATCTGTGAGAGGAAACTTGTCTCCCTAACTGTAAACCAATGTAATAACAGGAAACTTTACTCAGTTGATGGCAAGCTTGAGCTCCCCAACAAGAAATCCTGTTAGAATCTGTAATAGACAAAGTGGAGCCTAGATTCACCTTCCAAAAGCAAAATAATCCCTGACATGGTATAAAAATGGTCTAGACCACAGGTGTTGAACTGGTTCCAGAAAGAGCCGTGTGGCTGCAGGTTTTCTTTCCAACCAAACAATAGCATACCAGACTCCAGTCATCTCATCAAGTCATCATGTTCAGATTGGACTCCCTTGATGAGATGACTGGAGTCTGGTGTGCTATTGTTTGGTTGGAAAGAAAACCTGCAGCCACACGGCCCTTTCTGGAACCAGTTTGACACCCCTGGTCTAGACCAATTGACATTCATGTGCATAATTTAGCCAACAATGTCACAAATTTAAACATTACTGTTTAGATATGTTCTATCTGATCTGAGAGCAACTCAGCCACCACAACATACAGTATATGAATCAGTTTTCTTCCACTCCAAGTAATCCAGTGCTGTTAAAATATGAAATAAATTGGCATTAAAAAAGTGGTTATATAAGAAATGTGAAATTGTTAAGAGCTATGTAGTTTTTGAAAGGCATTGCACTAATGCAAATAGATCATTAGATATGCAAAGAAATAAAATTTTTGACATATATGGCTATTATGTTATATCTTTTAGTCTGATATCGATCAAATGGAAGATTTGTCAGAAATGTGTCATATTATACGCTTAAGGACACGAGGAGCTGTGGCCAAGGTAATTAACTTTTTTGTCCCTTACAGACTTTTTTATTTATTTATCTAAATACCCAAGTGTAATCATTGTGTTGACTTTCAGGTCAGGGAATATCAAGCTTCGTTTTCTAGCTACCGGTACCTTTGGACTGATGACAGGTCAGATGATTTGTTTTATTGAATTTCCTCCTTCCAGAGTTGTACATTTATTTATTCATTTCATCCCTCTTTTTTATACATCTTTTTAGATCTGAATTCATGAGGCAGTTTTTGCTCTACGGCCATGTTTTGAGCACAGAAGAAGCGGAGCTGTATGCGGACTATGAACTGAAAAAGAGCCCACCCACCTTAGAGAACTTTAAAGATCAAGTATTTTCCATGTTTCTCATCTCTCTGTTTTTAAAATATTTATAGTGCAATCAAAGTAACTAGTTCCTTCCCTCATTTAGATCAATCTTTTTGAGTCTCTGTACACTCGGGTGAGTAAAATGGAGGACAGGATACAATTCTGTGGCTGGTTGGAGCTGGATATACGACCCTTCAAACACACGCTGATGAATGTCATCAAAAAGTGGAGCTGGATGTTTAAAGAGCATCTTCTAAACCATGTAAATCAGAGGTAAATCATTTTGAATTTGGTTGCATGTTTCTTTTAGGATTGTTTTTAAGATTTTGATTCTATTTTTGAAATAGTCTGGCATGTCATGGTTTCGGTTCTGTTTAATCTCAAAGAGCTTTTACAGTCATAAATCCAGAATAGATCTTTAAGATCTGTTTTTTATGTATGTATAAAACTAAATAAATAGATCATAATGATCAAGAATAAATGAACCATTCAAACATGCAGTAATAAAGACACCAAACCAGTTTCACTTTGTTTGTTCACAGTGTAAAGGAGCTGTCCCATTTTCTTGAGGACACAGCTGGAGGCCTCTCCACAAACGTGTCAGATGGAGATTATGCAGGGCTGGTGAAAATAATGGGACACCTTATGGCCATCCGAGATAGACAGATCAGTAATGAACAGCACTTCAAACCACTCAAGTCAACGGCAGAGCTTCTCAAGTCCTACGGACAACAACTCCCTGAGGGTGTCTACACACAGCTGGAAGTATGTACCAGTGCAAAAACATTTCCCTGTTTATTGCAATGGCGTTAAGCATCAACCATTGCATTTGTCTTTTAACTTCTATGCCTCAAAATTTAGGAGCTGCCTGAGAAGTGGAAAAGTCTCAGAAAAATAGCATTTACAGTGAAACATGAAGTGGCACCACTGCAGTCAAATGAAGTTTCTGTGATACGCAGGAAATGTGTTTCGTTTGAGGTGAGACTGGGTGTAAGCAAGGTAGGATGTCAGTCTGGTAACCCCCCACAAAGAGCTTGATATCTGATACACCCAATTAACCTTTGTCTTTCTTTCCTGCATTATTTATGTTACCCAAACGCTAGGGTCTGTGCATTCTGAACTGGAGACAGATATACATGCATTATATATTTTTCAACTTTCCAAATGTAGATAAAGCAGCATGAGTTCAGAGAGCAATTTCGCACTGCGTCAATCTTCAAGTTCAACATTGAGGAGCCATATAAACTGATTGAGAAGGTGAAAATTAGAAAACATTCAACTTGCATCCTATTAAGATACTTGTGATAAAATGAAAGTAGTGCACCATGCGAATTTAGTGAATCTACAAAGTTGCACAATGCAATAGCAGCTCAACTGTATCTCTCTAGTGTCATCGATCAGTAGCACAGCTTGAGGTGGAAATGAAGAACCTGCAAGACACAGCTGATCTTTTTGAGGTCAGCTTTCCTGAATACAGACAGCTGCGCCAGTGTCGCTCTGACATCATACTCGTCAAAGCAGTCTGGGACCTGATCATTTTTGTGAAGGTAAAAATGATTTGACCAAAAAAAAATTTATATTTTCCTTGACTACATTGTAGTTTGAAAAAAAATAAATAAATAAATAAATTGCCAAAACAAACTCTTAATGTTAGACAAGCATAGAAGAGTGGACCAAGACTCCGTGGAAGGAGGTAAATGTAGAGCAGATGGACATGGAGCTCCGCCGTTTTGCTAAGGTATGAAAACAAATTTACACATTTTAACTAACATTTTTTTTTTTAGTTTTGAAGTTTAAAAAGTGTTAATTTTGGCTCATGTTTGATTTAATGATGATAATTATGCTTTGTGTTGCAGGAAATGAAGATGCTAGATAAGGAAGTGAGAGCATGGGATGTTTACCTGGGTTTAGAATCTACTGTGAAAAACCTGCTAACCTCTCTGAGAGCAGTCAACGAGCTGCAGAGCATTGCCATCAGAGAGAGGCACTGGCAGCAGCTTATGAACACAACAGGAGTATGAAAACTTATGTTTAGATATGCAGATATTGTGCAGCATTAAATTTAGACTCCGAGAACTTGATTACAACAGCATCAGAGCATATATCCTTTATGATTCCTAGGTACGGTTTGTGATGGGAGAGAGCACCACCTTGGGAGACCTGTTGGAATTACAGCTACACCGTGTGGAGGATGAAGTTAAAAACATAGTGGACAAAGCTGTGAAAGAAATGGGCATTGAAAAGGTAGAAACCAGATAATTGAGGCTTTTTTATGAATGAAAAACTGCTGAAAACAGATTTAAAGAAAAAAATGAAAATGTTTTGACCCTTTCAATCTACGTCCATTTTGAACAAAGGTTCTGGCAGAAATAACACAGACCTGGAGTGTCATGTCACTGTCATATGAGACTGATAACAGCACTGGAACACCTTTGCTCAAAGCTGATGAGAATCTAATCGAAACTTTGGAGGACAACCAGGTAGATTATTAGGCAGATTACCTAAGTATTGTGTAAAACTAATTAATGTGCTTACATTAAGTAGATTCATTAAAATGTAGCACAGATGGATATTCTAAAATTTCCAACAAATGGCAGCCTAAGTGCTTCGGTAGAAACCAAGAGGAGTCCATCTGTTTCTTGAAGACATTTCAACTCTTATTCAAAGAATTAAATTATTGGGCTTAATCAGTGGGAAGGTTTGGATCAATTTAACCTTCACCTATGTTAATAACTGAGGAACACTTCAGACTGAGAGATTAAATGTTTTGGAGAGTCTACAAACCACAAAAGTAGTCTAGTTGCCTTGTTCTGATTTGTTCAAGAGAATTAAGTTCTGATACACCCTGCAACCTATTTATAATTAATCTAAATACAGATGGTTTCAGAGGTTTACTTTTTTAAATAAAATAAAAAAACAGCGAAGACCAGGATGCATACCAGGAAGATGAGGAGCAATGTTATGGAGAACCGTAACATAAGGTTAGGATCTAAAACCTTAAACTACCTATAGAGTACCGTTCCATTAGTGATCTGAGGAGGGCATCGTGCAACCCTACCAAGGCATGGGAGTACCATTCAAAATATGAATGATAACTGTGAGGGATTCTAAAAGACGCTTCTCCTCAGCGGGGACAAAGGAGCCAGGGAGGTCAATACATGAAGCCAAATAAAGAGAATCCTTGAAGAAAAACCTCTTAGAGGCTGCAACAGGTGCAAAAGGTCAACAATACTATCGACAACAATTATGTCAAAGGGTTGGTTATGTATCAGAATGATCCAAAGAACATTGAGAAAATGAAGCTTGGCCTCACAGATTTTTCTCCATTTAGTCACACAGGGCTGAACCTATTTTATAAAGTATATTTGGCAGGAATTGCAATAAGTACAGGCTTTAGATCTCAACTGGTAGTGTCGTAGCTTAAGAGATTTTCAGCTGTAAATTGTGGTTTTACATTAAATTGAAATTTGCTATCATAATTCAACAAAATGTGAAACGGTTCAAGAGATAAATATTCTTTATCAAGTTCTTTGTATTTTACTTCAAATAGACAAAACATTGATGTGAACTATGAGAATGTGTATCAGAGGAACTTTCTACAAGTTTAGCAAAACTGCCCATATTCACATACCTTCAGGTCCAACTGCAGAACATCCTAATGAGCAAGTACGTGGAGTATTTCCAGTCAGAGGTGAGTGGATGGCAGAGGAAGCTGATGGTAGCTGACCTGGTCATCTCATCGTGGATGTCTGTCCAGAAGACTTGGGCCCATCTAAACAGCATCTTCACAAATAGCGATGATATTCGCTGCCAACTGGCCCATGATGCAGAGCGATTTCAAACCATAAATGCTGACTTTCAGGTAAATACAAAACACGCTTGTAGCCCTATCTTTCTATAAAATCACAACATTTTCTTTATTTTTATTTTTATGTAGAGTTTGGTGGTTGAAGTGGTACAGAACAGTAATGTGGTGGATGTAACCAACAAGCAAGGCTTCCTGGAGAGTCTAGAAGCCTTACAGCAGAGGTTGTCAGTGTGTGAGAAGGCCCTTACCGAGTATCTGGAGACGAAAAGGCTAACATTCCCCAGATTTTATTTCATCTCATCTTCTGATCTGTTGGAGATTATCTCCAAAGGAAAACAGCCCAAACAGGTGTTATATTCTATTTATGCTACTGTGAAAAGAACACAAACATCTAATGTTGCAACAGGGCAGTTATACATATGTGTCTGGAGAAAATATTGACTTAACAAGTAGTGGAATACATTTCATCTGGATTTGAATGCACACAACTGAACAGTTTCATTTACATGGGTGTAATTTTAAGGTGACCCGCCATTTGTTGAAGTTGTTTGACAACATAGCAGACCTTCGCTTCAAGGACTCAGACGAGGCCAAAGGAGGGGAGGAAGTGGAGGAATTGGCAGTTGCTGTTGGGATGTACAGCAGGGAGAGAGAATATGTTTCTTTCTCAGAGCCATGTGTCTGTAAAGGACAGGTGAAATATTATAAACAAATATAAATAGAGATATATAGAAAGATAAATATACAGTTACGTTTTTGTTTTTAATTTTTTTTTCAGGCTGAATGTTGGTTAAACGCTTTGGAGAACAGTATGCGCTGTACAGTCAGGAAAGAGATACAGGAGGCGGTGGCTGCCTATGAGGACAAACCAAGGGATCAGTGGCTTTTTGATTATCCTGCACAGGTTTGTTTTTCTATAGTTTTAGTAGTGACTTTCAGATTTTAAAACTCACATTTGATCGTTTTTATCAAAAACTGATGTCGATTTCAATAAAAATGCAGCAGCCTGAAAAGCCTAAAAAGTTAAATGACTACCTTTTAGTCATAGTTTCAGTGACCACAACCACAGAAATTTGCATTATGAATGAATTAAATAGTAAAAAGAATTTCATTTAGATTTTAAAATAAAAAAACTCATGTCTTACTAGTAAGTAAGATTTTTTTTTTTTATTGAAATTAACACTTAGTAGTTTTTTTTTTTTTATCCTATATTCAACATTCTGAATCTTGCAGATTTTATTTTATTATTGAGTACAGAATTTAGCACAGTAATGACAATTTAAAAATACCTTTGAACCACAAAATTATTGTTTTTGTTTAATCCTTAATTTCTAGTTCTATTTCTTGAATTCTCTGTACGTAAGGGTCATAATCTTGTTTGGAAGCTATCTACAGTCCATGCACTACCAGTATTTTGAGTGTAGAATCTCTTGTTAGAAAAACCGGGGATAATTTACATCTGTGACAAGTATTTACTATTTGAGGAACTGACTTTAACTTTTATGATCTGACCTGTCAAATCAGTTAGGAGGTGTACAATTAGTAGTCCGTGTTAAGATAAAAAAAAAAAAAATCAGAATATTGCACTGCCTGTTGTGTAATTAGCCTCTGTGATCCTCAAAAACTTTTTTATAGAAGAGTTGTCCATCAAAAATAACCCTTAAGCATGAAATGTGAAGTTATGCTGAGCTTAACCATTTTGAAGTTGTGTGTGTAGTTTTTCTCAGACATGCCTCTATTTTATCTGTTGCTTCATAAGTTTTAACTTGGCTAAACATTTGAGCAATGCTGCTCAAAATTAGAGTAAAGCAATGACTGCACACTGAAGTTTTTGCTTTATGCACAATGAATATGTAGGGCCTTTTCGTTGCATGTGTCTCCTTTTTGATTGTTTGTTTGTTTTTATATAAATAGGTATCATTGACTGGTAGTCAGGTGTGGTGGGCCACAGATGTGGGTATTGCTTTTGAGAGAGTGGAGGAAGGATTTGAGACAGGTCTAAAAGACTACAACAAAAAACAGGTAAGCTCTTAAAATCTATTTTTTTATTTTATAGCAAAGGTTCAAATAAGAGGCACTTTAATGAAGTGAAATTGTAATTTTCAAGATCACACAGCTCAACTCATTGATCCACATGTTACTTGGGGATTTAAGTCCTGGAGACAGGCAAAAAATAATGACCATATGCACCATTGATGTCCATGCTCGAGATGTGGTTGGAAGTCTCATCACTCAAAAGGTATCTAAAACAGGCTTTTTCGAATTATAGTAATACAAGTTATTTGAGACCACTGTCGATGTTGCTGTGTGTGCCTGTTAGGTGACAAATGCACAGGCATTTGCGTGGCTGTCTCAGCTTCGCCACCGCTGGGATGAAGAGACTGCCCATTGCTGTGTGAACATCTGTGATGCCCAGTTCCAGTTTAGCTATGAGTATCTGGGAAACACAAACAGACTGGTTATAACCCCACTTACTGACAGGTAATAAACCTGTGCTCACAACATTATCATAACTAATAATAGTTTATTAAGAGTTACTTTAAACTTTGAGGATACATTAATAGCTGACTGTCGATTTCTTAAAAGTGCCCATATTACAATATATGCTGAGTCCTGTAAAAGTGTGCAATTTTTTCCTACTAAATGCACTTTGCAAAAGAAGTCATATCTTTTAAATATTCTCATAAATATCTGTTCTCATAAAAATATCCCATCCATACATTGCTGTGTGTTTTTTTAATGAGATTTGGTGTGAAAGTCCAACAAAATAAAGAACCTTATTGTGGATAAGAAGGAAAGAAATGGATTTGTCCTATATGGTGGCTGAGGGGTGCAGATGGCATGCAAAAACTAACGCCAACTTTCAAAAGTCCTGCAATTACAAAAATTTAACTTACAAATACAAAGTTGAGGAATTGAACTTAAAAATTAGAAAACATGCAAAACAAAAATGTTACAGAAAAGAAATGCTGCAGTCACAGAAATTAGAGAGTAGCAAAATTAAAAAACTCTGTAAGCAAAAAAAAAAAAAAATGGGTGCAAATATATAAATTATTGTAACACAGAGAGCACATGCAAAGCTAAAATGCTGCAAGTAGCAAAACAACTGCAAGTTAAGAAAAGCTGCACACTAAATTGGGATAATTAAAGGGCCTCAGACCAAAAGAGGAGGAAAATCATCAATACAGACTACAGGAAAACAAACTCCAATTTATGGCCCATTGCAAGGACTCCAGGACTCCCTTCAAAATGTGTTTTTAAGGGAGGTAATACAAAAAAACAGCAACAAATAAATGGTATGTCGTCCTAAAAAAAATGAAAATGTAAGCGTTACTTTGAATTTTTTTCAAACACCGAATCTCTCTGAGCATTCTGTTGATGCCTTTATAGGGCTCTGTTTCATGTGAATTGATGATGGTCATCTATTGATCTGCAGCACTTCTGTTATGCTGAGCTAGTTTTTCATTTATCCTTAACTTGCAGTTGTGTGTGCTACTTTCAACATTTTCCATTTGCATATGTTTTATGTGTTTGCATCGTTTATGTATTTGCTGGTGTACACTTTGAATTTGTTGGTTTCATGTTTGTGTTTGCAGAACTTTTTGGATTTGTTATCATTTTTATGCATTTTCACAAGGATTGCACTTTTCAGCAACCATAGCCCCGAGCATTTTTCTTAATAAGAATTAGAAATTTGGTATGCATTTACATATATATATTTCCATTACACAACTTGATATTACAAATTTTGAAGTAGCCAGATTATCTGGCAAACTACTGTAAAGTATGTAAGATTTTGCTACTATAGCGAGTGTTGGCCTAGTGGGTTACAGCAGTGCGCTTGTGCTCTAAGAAGATTGGAAGTACCCGGTTCAATTCCCACAGCCGATGCTCTGGTTCTCTTAGGAAGACCCTTAACCTCACACTGCTCCCCGGGCACTGCACAGTCGCAGCCCTCTGCTTCCCAAAGGTGATGGGTTAGATGCAGACAGTTAATTTCTTCATTGTGAGATCAATAAGTTCAATTTCTATAGTCAAAGAGCTAAAATATGACTTAATATTCAATAACTCCGTTATTGTATACCGCAATGTTTAAAATCCAGTGACATTTCCCTCTGCATGCATTTTTAATCTTTATCCCAACACAACCAGGTGTTACATAACCCTGACCCAATCGCTCCATTTGACTATGAGTGGTGCCCCATCAGGCCCAGCTGGTACTGGAAAAACAGAGACAACTAAAGACCTGGGACGTTCCCTTGGTATCATGGTATATGTGTTCAACTGCTCAGAACAAATGGACTACAAGGTATCATAAACTGCAAAGATGTTCTTCCCAATTATCACCATGGTCGCTTCTATATCAGTTATTTCTAAAAAGAAAATATTCATCATTTTTGCTTGTGTGTCTATCTCATCTTTGTGCCTCAAGTCCATAGGTAATATTTATAAAGGCCTGGCTCAAACTGGAGTGTGGGGCTGCTTTGATGAATTCAACAGGATCTCAGTGGATGTACTATCTGTGGTAGCTGTGCAGGTTAAGACTATACAAGATGCTGTGCGCAACAAAAAACAGAGGTATGCACGTATCCATCGTTAATGCGTTATGCTTTGTTATTGGCTTGTTAATCCAGCCAGAGCGTTTTCTTTCAACAATTTACGCTTGTAGGTTTCATTTTCTGGGAGAAGAAATTGAGTTGAAATCAACAGTGGGGATCTTCATCACTCTCAACCCAGGATATGCGGGGAGGGCAGAGCTTCCAGAAAACCTTAAGGCACTGTTCAGGTCTGATCTAATGATAATTATGAGGACATTAAGGGCAAATGTTCATATGCAGGAATGCTTTCTTATTGCCTGTCTATTTGCCTAAATTCCAGGCCCTGTGCAATGGTCATCCCAGACTTTGAACTCATCTGTGAGATCATGCTGGTGGCTGAAGGGTTTATTGATGCACGTTTACTGGCACGCAAGTTCATAAGCCTCTATACTCTGTGCAAAGAACTGTTGTCCAAACAGGTATGCACACAACAAAAAATTTCATTACACAAAATGCATTTGAAAATTACGGTCCTTTTCTTAAAAGGTTGCATTATAAGAGAACCAAGAAGAATGTAGGTTAGCAAACTGGTAGTAGAAATCTTGCATAATACACAACACATGTATTTGCAATCAAATTACCATCAAGTTCTGTCTGGCTTATAACTCAAATAATTAAATAGATGTGCTTTTATACATGTTTCATTTAATTGTTTTTATGGCTGCTGATTATAGTTTTTATTGTTTATATGATTTAATCATCAGATGCTAGTTTTTTGCTATTGGTTTAGATAACCTATTTTTCTATACCTTTTAGGATCATTATGATTGGGGTTTAAGGGCTATAAAATCAGTCCTTGTTGTAGCAGGATCCCTTAAGCGTGAGGAGCGTAACAGACCTGAAGAACAGGTGAGGATATCTTCTGCATCTCACTATAACATTCAAACAGAAATGAAAACATTTGTTTAGTGTTTACTATTTGTTGTTTTGATACATTTATGCTTAAATGCTTCCTTTCTAGGTGTTGATGCGAGCTCTGAGGGACTTCAACCTTCCAAAGATAGTGACCAGTGATGTGCCTGTATTCCTTGGACTGATCAGTGACTTGTTTCCTCAACTAAATGTTCCAAGGAAGAGAGATCCCACCCTAGAAAATGCTGTTCGCCAGTCAGTTAGTGAACTCCATCTCCAAGCAGAAGAAAATTTTATACTTAAGGTGTCTTATCATTATGACATGCATTTGTAGTCACCCCCTATTAGACAATACTTGCACGTTTGTTGCCTTTAGGCCCTTGGGTGCCCTCTAGCTTTGTACAGTTCAAGCCTATAAATATTTAGCCATTCCTGGAAAAGAGCTCAAAAACCGCTGTGGGCTGTGAATGTGATAGCACTCTTCCTTTTTTTTTTTTTTATGTACAATTCTTCAACATAGATAGGCCTTGATGTTAACTAATCCACAGCAGCTTTGTTTGTGGACCTTGTAATGCTAAATCCCATTTTTACCCCAGTCTAAAGTTTTCTGCAGTTTCATCAGGTCTTTATTTAGGATTGCCTTATTTTGAACCCTATCATCATCATTAACTAAGCAGCTCTCTTACAACCGTGGGACAAAAGATGATCTTTCCCTCAACCTTGTTTCACCATAGCATTAATGGTCAGGCTCACATCCTGAGCATAGAATTCCAATTTGTACCTGCCTATTTTACCTTCAGACACATTTCTGCTCTGTCTCAAATTTAGTACTAGACTTCACTTTCCTTTAATCCACCCCACTTCTTTAAAAGTCCGAGTCATGGCTGGTCAATGATCTTCGAGCAGGACTCAGAAAGTGTGCAGCGCCTACAGAGTTACAGCTCTACTTCTCTAAAAAATGCTCTGCTTAGCAGGCATGTGACCAAACGTGGACAACCATGTCTTGTTGTGTTTGCATGTGTTTGCATACTAGACTTAACAGTGTTAAGAGAAATGTTCAAATCAGAGTTTATTTGAAATAAAACAGTGGTGTGCACAGACATTTTTGGAGGCAGGTGACCAGGTTGGAAAAAGGGCACCTTATACATTGCGTGGAGCCACCAACAGTGTCTGATGCTGACGTTTAAGGTATTAATTAAATAAATAACAATTTCAAATCACAAAACCTTAAAACCGTGGACTAGATTGAGTTTATTTTAGTTTTTAATTTTTGGAAAGAAAATAACACAGCTGAAGGCTAGAGCACAACAAAGACTGAAATAAATACACTGAGCTGTGTAATCAGGTGCAAGGAACAGATTACAGTGTAGAAGCCATTTTTTTCTCGTTTAAACTGACTTTCTTCTTCTGGAGATGTAGTTTGTTACCTGGACAGTTAACTAACTCTTAACTTGGGCAAGGCTCTATTGAGGTGTTGCTATATGTCTTGTGGAGCAAAATTGCAAAACTCTAGATCTGGTTTTATAGGCTTTTAAACTCAAAAAGGGTATTTAGGACTAAAAAAGAACAAAAAACTATTTCAGAAGGGCCCTTTTTTGTCCAAAGGGGGAAAGGGCAGGTGCTCTAGCACCACCTAGTGTCTATCTGTACTTGTTCCTAAAACCAAACATTGGTTTATATTTTATTTCTCTACATCTGTCACACTGACCTGAAACACCTGTTTTTTTTATGTATACTCAAAAATTAACACTAATTTGTGTTGGATATGTGTATGGATATGGAAATATTAAAAACATGAGATCACAGTGGATATAGAATGCAATTTAATAACTTACCTTTTCGGCCTAAGTTACTATTTTGTTCATTTGTCAGACTAAAAGTGCTTGAGACAAATGTGAATTTATATGCCGGAGGCAAAGGTTGACACCACAATGATTAATATTAGCAGATTTACTTTGATGACTTTAAATGATTTTGATTTTTTTTTATTTACAAGTATAGGGTGCTGTAAGAAAAATGTGCATGCTTGTGTGTCTTCAGGTGACTCAGTTGGAGGAGTTGCTGACCGTCAGACATTCTGTGTTTGTTGTTGGTGGACCAGGAACTGGAAAAAGTCAGGTACTGTAACAAATTATGTTAATGGCATTTATTACAAAAATATTTTTGCTTTAATATTTAATTATAGAAAATAAACTTATATCTAATCTGCAAATATGTTGACCTATATCATCGCTTTATATTGACTCTAAGTGAAGAAGATGGATTTTCTTTTGTTTCCTTTTAATATTTGTTTGTCTATTTTGGTATTTACTTTGCAGATCTTGAAGACCCTACATAGGACATATTCTAATATGAAGAAGAAACCAGTATGGACTGATATTAATCCCAAAGCTGTTACCACAGATGAGTTGTTTGGATATCTGCATCCTGCTACCAGAGAGTGGAAAGATGGCAAGGGGCTTGAACTTTATACAAAGGATTTCATAAACGAAGACAGAAATCAAAGAAATCTGAGAGCATGTTACAGTTACCTTAGTTATTCCTAAACCTTGTCTGAAAACAACTTAAAATTTACAAAAACATGAGTTTTCCATAGCAAATCCCAGATTACAATTTGTTAGGGTTTTTTGTTTGTTTCCTCGTTGTTGTTAAACATGTTTAACTGTAGGTTTAACTCATTATTTCCTAAATTAGGTCTTTTCTCCTCCACCATGAGAGAGCTGACCTCATTGACCCATGATGGACCAAAATGGATTGTTTTAGATGGGGACATTGACCCCATGTGGATTGAATCACTCAACACAGTTATGGATGACAATAAAGTGAGACAAGGAATTTTTGTTTTTTACGAATATGCTCTCTTTTCAATATCTACAATAATTATATATAATTATATATATATATATATATATATATATATATATATATATATATATATATATATATATATATATATATATATATATATATATATATATATATATATATATATATATATACAGAACACCTAACATTCAAATTTTCTAACTTCTCAGGTTCTGACTCTTGCCAGTAATGAGCGGATCAGTTTGTCCACGTCTATTCGTCTCCTCTTTGAGATTTCTCACCTTAGGGCGGCTACTCCAGCAACAGTATCCAGGGCAGGGATACTCTACGTCAACCCGCAGGACCTTGGCTGGAGCTCGTAAGACTCACAAACAACATACAAGCCTAAAACGCTCTCCGTAAAGTATCTATTGGTTCTCTTTCAGTGTTCTGGTGTTTGCTTTAACAGTTATGCAGCAAGTTGGATAGATACCCGACAGGCCCAGTCAGAACGGGCCAATCTCACCATCTTGTTTGATAAGTATGTGCCCTACTGCTTGGAGCAGGTCCGCTGCAACCTGAAAACTATCACTCCTATTTCAGAAAACAGCATGTTGCAGGTCTGGATCTCTGCTAATAATCCAGAGATTTTTATTGTTAAGAAAAAAATTATTATTATTACTGAAATATATTATTTTATCTCTTTTTTTTTTTTATTCAGACTCTTTGCTCATTACTGGATTGCCTGTTGACAGAAGAAAACACTCCACCAGACTCCCCCCGAGATGTTTATGAGATCTACTTTGTCTTTGCCTCTGTTTGGGCTTTTGGAGGGGCTCTCTTTCAGGATCATGTAAGTGGTGTATAAATTCATACATCAGCAGGAGGCACCAAAGCCATTTGATTGTTTTAGAATGACATTCATATAAATTATCAAACCATTCTCTACAATTGTCTTTATTATGAATCCATTCTAGCTGAATGATTACCGCGCTGAGTTCAGCCGCTGGTGGTCTAAAGAGATGAGAGCTGTAAAGTTTCCTTGCCAAGGCTCAGTCTTTGACTATTATGTTGACCCTGAGACTAAAAAATTCACACCCTGGAGTGAGAAAATGCTGCCGTTTGAGCTGGAGCCTGATGTCCCATTGCAGGTTTGAGATTTAATCACAATTGTACCATATTTTATTACTAAAGAGAATTACCATTCTTACTGATTCAGGTTAACATCTGTTTTAGACAGTGCTGGTTCACACCCCAGAAACTATCTGTCTGACATACTTCATGGACTTGCTGCTACAGAGAGGAAAACCTGTCATGTTTGTGGGAAATGCAGGTGTAGGCAAGACCATACTGGTGTCCGATAAAGTCACCAAGCTGAAGGAGGACTACATTATTGCAAAAGTGCCCTTTAATTATTACACCACATCAGCCATGCTGCAGCGTAAGAACTGCTACAAAACAATGTTTTTAAGATAAAACTGAATTAATAAAATTATACTACACCTTGTAGTTACAGATCCACAGGACTCTTAGGAGTTTTTGTATGTCTTTTATTTTTTCTTCATTTGGTTGCAGTGGATTCTATTAAGCGTAATTTTTTTTTTTTAAATGTCTTTTACAATAATTACTTTTTCTCTAATCCACGAGAGGTATCTTCAACATTCAAACATTTTTTTATTCTTTATTAAAATCACTCCAAATCTCTTTTGCAAACACCCTAAAAAAAAGTATTTCCTTAAACTAACATGATATTTTCCTACACATCATTTCAATTTTAGGTGTTCTGGAGAAACCTTTGGAGAAAAAAGCCGGTCGCAAATTTGCTCCCCCTACTTCGAAGAGGCTTATCTACTTCATAGATGACCTGAACATGCCTGAGGTTGACGTGTATGGCACTGTCCAGCCGCATACACTCATTCGCCAGCACCTGGACTATAGTCATTGGTAAGGGGTTGCCTTTGATACAATGAGTTGATGCAATCAACTTGTTTTCCTTAGATAGAAAACCTTGAATCAATTTGACTGTATGATCTGCTGAACTGTTAAGTGCCTTGAGATGACATATGTTGTGAATTGGCGCTATATAAATAAACTGAATTGAATTGAACTGAGTATTAGAAGAAAGTTCTCTCCATTATCTTTCACAGAGTGTTATGATTTATCTTAATCCAAAATGACATAGGTATGATAGACAAAAGTTGGTCCTGAAGGAAATACACAACTGCCAGTATATCACCTGCATGAACCCAACAGCTGGAAGCTTCTCTATCAACCCCAGACTGCAGGTAGAGTTGTTTGCAATCTCTTAAGTGAAGCCTTATTTAACAAGGCTTATATTCTACAATACAATGGGTATTTAAAGGATTTTTATTGTTATTTTTTGTTTATTAACCTTGCATTTGATTTGAGGAGGCAATAACCCTTAAAGAAACATTCATTCTTTTCTAGAGACATTTTGCTGTGTTTGCGGTGCATTTCCCGGGAGCTGATGCATTGGCTACCATCTTCTCCAGCATCCTTTCAGCTCATTTCCTTCAAGGAGGATTCAGCTATGGAGTCTCTCGCTCTGTCGGAACTCTCATACAGGTTAACCCATGGCTTCAGAGCAAAACTGATGTTTTTAGAGAATATTTGCCTATGTATGTATTCATACCTGCTTTCTCCAAGATGTGTTTATTTTTTTTTATTTTTTGCCTAATATAGGCAGCCATCTGTCTTCATCAAAAGATTAGCCAGAACTTCTTTCCAACAGCCATACGCTTCCATTATATCTTTAACCTGCGAGACCTCTCCAACATATTCCAGGTGAGAAATAATATGCATTGACATTTCATTGACACATTTAACTAAACCAACTTTTAATTGAAATTATTTTGCTGTTTACACACAGGGTTAATACTGAAGAAAAAAAATATTTCAAAAGATTTAGGTTGTTCAGATGTTCAGGCAGCCAAATGACAACTTTTATTAAAATGTATCTGAAGTATTATTTTTGACATGATGTATTGGTGCATAGGGCCTCCTGTTTGCCCTGCCAGAGAGCATCCGTTATCCCATGGACCTGGTCCATCTGTGGCTCCACGAGAGCTCCAGAGTCTATTCTGACAAGTTGATGGACCAGAAGGATGTTGAACTTTTTAATAAAATCCTGCTGGACACAGGGAAAAGATACTTTGAGGTAAGGAGAAAATGTTTTTATCATTAGAAAAAGGTTTTCAACACAAGCATAAAAGGTCTGGAAAAGTATTTTCAAAGATACAAAAAAAAAGTTAGAAAGCAAAATGCATTTCTATTCTAATTAACTGCAGTTCGGGTCTTTCTTCTTTGGTTTTTTTAATGAATAATGCACATTAAATGATTTTATTCCCATATCTATCCATCTGTTTATCTATCTATTGTATCACTCATCCACTCATCTAAGGATGGATGGATGATTGGATCCATCCATCCATCCATCCATCCATCCATCCATCCATCCATCCATCCATCCATCCATCCATCCAGGAACTGTTTTTTAAAGTTTTGGTCTTGTGAAATATAATCACCCCAGTTTTACAGGGCAATGATTAATTGTTTTTCCTCTAACTTCTCAGGGAATAGACGACTCCATGTTTATCCATCAACCTTTAGTGTACTGTCACTTTTCCATGGGAGTAGGAGAGCCACGTTATCATCAGGTGTGACGAACATACATCCATATACATATTAAAAGTCATAGCCTCCTGTCTTTATAAACAGATCTTTAGTTAGAATGGTTTATCGTCACTCAAAATCTATTTATTGTGGATGTTCTGCTTTTCAAACATTTTGACATACTGTGCTTAAACTTATCTCTTATCATCCCCAAAATATTGCATAACTATAAAATTAACATAAAAGGGGTAGAGGCAGACGTATGCAACATATGAAATTACAGATAAAATGTAATATTGTTAGACATGTTTGTTATTTAATCTTCATATCAGCTGTCAGACTGGGAGAAGCTTCAGAAGACACTAGCTGATGCTTTGGAGCACTATAATGAGCTTCATGCCGCCATGGACCTAGTGCTATTTGAAGAAGCCATCCAACATATGTACGAAACCCATTTATTCGTACTATAGACCTATGTTCATAGCTGATACTAGCCTGTGTAAGGTGTTAAAATTAAAAGATTTGACCTGTTATGTTAAGCAGTAACTGTTACATTTACCTGTTTGAGTTCAGTTGTCGGATCAGTCGCATCCTGGAGGCCCCTTATGGAAATGCTCTTCTGGTTGGGGTAGGAGGCAGTGGGAAGCAGAGTTTGTGTCGACTGGCTGCTTTTCTTAGCTCTTTGGAGGTCTTCCAGATCACACTGCGTAAAGGATATGGAATCAACGACTTAAAGGTAAACACACCATACCTCCATATCTCCACCATACCTCAATGTTCTGTGACTCATATATGGGCTATTTTTTTTTTAACAATCATACTTCACCTTCTTTCCTACTTTATTTAAAATATGTATTTTTTTAATGGTCTGCAGAGCGAAATTGCTGCACTGTACATAAAAGTGGGAGTGAAAAATATCGGAACAGTATTCCTCCATACTGATGCACAGATTCCAGATGAGCGCTTCCTGGTGCTCATCAATGATATGCTGGCTTCAGGTGTGTTTTCTATACTATATATAGATTTATATATATGTGCGTGTGTGTGTCTTGTGTATATATATATATATATATATATATATATATATATATATATATATATATATATATATATATATATTTTTTTTTTTTTTTTTTTTTTTTTTTTTTTTTTCCACGTGTATCAGCTTTATTAATAATTTAATGTTTTATGTTTTTAACATAATTACAATTATTGTTTGCCTATGTGTATTTTTCTAGGGGATATTCCTGACTTGTTTAGCGATGAAGAGGTTGATATGATTGTAGCATCGATTCGTTTGGAACTGAGAGGATTAGGACTCATAGACAGCAGAGACAACTGCTGGAACTTCTTTATTGAGCGAATAAGAAGACAGCTGAAGGTTTGATATGTCATTGACAAATTTAAATGATCTGCTGTTGGGGAAAGGGTTTTTTACTCTTCTCTAACTCGTATTTAAATCGTCCTTCCATCAGGTGATCCTGTGTTTCTCCCCGGTTGGATTTACGTTGCGTACACGTGCACGGAAGTTTCCAGCTCTGGTTAACTGCACTGCTATAGACTGGTTTCACCCGTGGCCTCAGCTCGCTCTACAGTCTGTCAGCTCTACATTCATAGAGAAGATACCAGCACTGGAGGTGAGGCCATATTTGAACAATAGCAGTCCGAGAACAATCTTCACTGAAAATAAATCTGTATATTCACTTGGTTTCTACATAAATAAACTGAATTGAATTATTTGTTATCAAAAAAAGTATTGTAAAACTGTAAAAAAAAATAATTTAAATTAATGAAAAAATAAGAAGAGTATGTACAGTATATCATCAAAATTTGGACCACACTTTTAGCTCTTGCATATTAACATTTTTGAAAGCACTTTCATGAAAAAAAAACTCAGTATTCTGAGGTCATAAGCGACAAGACTGATTTCTAGGTATTGCTTCCTTCTTCATACCATTACTATCTATTGCCTACATCCCTGCCTGTCATGCCTTGTGTTCAGGGTGCTGTGCAGAAAAAAAAGATTTTTTTAAGTATCTGTATAGCAGTAAAGTCTCTGAACTCAGCAGTAGATCTATGCAACTCCTCCAGAGTTACCATTGGCTCATTTTCTACTTAATTAAGGCTCTCCATAACCACTATCTCTGTCTACTTTAATCAACACACAGATTTCTTGATGATGTTTTTACTTCTCCTTACTCCATGTTGCTTTTATTCTGTGATATACCTTTTTGCCAATTTATGACCTACACATCACAGTAGGTCAATACTTGTATATGGTCAAATATTTTAGCATTTCAGATTATGTTTATTCTTTATAATAATCATTTTCTCCTGTATTTATATTGGGCAGCCTAAAGTAAGAGCTTCCATTGGGGAATTCATATCCTACGCTCATACAAGTGTCAATGAGGTGAGAATTACAGCAATACTTAGTAGCAACGATTAATAACCGTATCTTCTTTAAGTATGATTCACTGATGGATTTGTTAAAGGTGAGCATTAAATACCAGCAAAATGAGAAGCACTTCAACTACACCACTCCAAAGAGTTTTCTCGAATTCATGAAGCTGTATGACAACCTGCTGGGAGCGAAACGCAAAGAGTTGGCCCAAAAAAAGAACAGACTAGAAAACGGTCTACAAAAGCTGAAGAATACAGCATCACAGGTCCGAAAATATGGATTATCTATCTACTCCTGTTATACACTCTGACATAATCATATAATTATTTTTTATCAGGTGGAGGATCTCAAGGCCAAGTTAGCAGTGCAAGAAGTGGAGCTGTGGCAGAGGAACTCAGATATCGAAGCTCTTATTGCCAAGATAGGACAACAGACAGACAAGCTTAGCCAAGAGAGGGCTGTGGCCGATGCAGAGGAGCAAAAGGTAAATAAATTGACTCTTGAGCTGTGTTCTGATGATGATTAATCTTCTTAATGCTTCTTAAAAGCTGTCCGTACTCAACTGTTGATATATAGAAATAAGTAGCAGAATACAGCTTAAGGTTTCTTTAATAGATTTTTTTTTCATGAAGAGGATAGAAGTTTTCACTGTTTTTTCAAACTGACTTTATAATTTGACGCAATGTATCAAATACAATTTATGGCGATCTCTCATTTACAGTCTTTAGGAGCTAAAGATAAATGTTAAAAAAGATGCAAGGGAGTCATAGTCCTGATTTTCTGAATTTTCCCAATTTTTCAGGTGGAGGCTATTCAAGCTAGTGTAACAAAGCAGCAACAGGAGACAGAGGTTGACTTGGCCAAAGCTGAACCCGCTCTACAAGCAGCTAATACAGCCCTTAACACTCTAAATAGGGTAATAAATAAATTTAAACAAAAATACGCTCACTTTACTCTGCAAATGCTGGATTGTTTAAGGTGCCATATTCACCATTGGATCCAAATTTGTTTGATACCAAAACAGTCATGATTACCGGTAGGCTGTGTGATATGGCTGAAAAATGTTTATACTGGATCGTGAAAAATAATATAAGCATTTCATATCACTAATATTGATAGTTATTGATTACTGTTTTATTTTTTCTTTGCTGAATATAGACCAGGGGGGAAAAGCCAGCAAATTCTAACACTATTTAAATGTAACCTTTATAATATGTCAGACCTACCAGCAACCTTGCTTAGCTTTGATTTAAGAGGATGAGAGGCTAAATCCTTTCCTCAACCTACATCCCCCAGAATGCTATGCTTTTCTGCATCAGAGTTCAATGAAACTACAGAGGTTTCCTTTTTCTATTAATATTTATCAGGTGTCTATTGAGATATGTATTGCTATTGTTTAACAGCCCAGCCAAAGTCACAAGCATATGTGTACCTGTGTATCTGTGTGATCCAGTTGAATCTGACAGAGCTGAGGACTTTTCCCAACCCTCCAGCGATTGTTGCCAATGTCTCAGCAGCTGTTCTGGTCCTGCTCTCCCCCCAAGGCCGAATCCCCAAAGATCGCAGCTGGAAGGCCTCCAAGATGGTTATGAGCAAGGTGATACAATACAATGGTTTTCTCTTTTTCATATCTTTTTGATTCACCATATGTCATACTTAGTCTTGTTATTACAAAATGGCACATGCTGAAGAGGCAAGGACCCATACAGAAAAGTGTCTATCTACGTTGTCCAGGTCGATGACTTCCTGCAAGCCTTGGTAAACTTTGACAAAGAGCACATCCCTGAAGCCACTGTTAAGTGTGTGAGAGACGACTACCTCAGTGACCCAGAGTTCAACCCAGAGTTTGTGCGACAAAAGTCCTCAGCCGCCGCTGGTCTCTGTGCCTGGGTGATCAACATCATACACTTTCATGAGGTGAACACAGAGACATTAGCTATAACACATTTTTCCTTTCACCCAAGCTAAGTGTGCGGGTGACAAGTGATGGGATTTAGTTGCTATTTACAGATGTGCTTCTCCCCAACTTTGTTGCTGCTTTGGATAGATTTTTGTAAGTACACTTTCTTCTGCATTTGCAACAGTTTATTCTTCACTAAACAACTGTGTTTGAGCTCAGTTTTAATCTGTAATCTTAAAAATGTATTGTAGAAATTTAATTTTAGAAGTCATTGTGTTTGTTCAGGTATCCTGCGAGGTGGAGAAGAAGAGGATGTGTCTTTTTCAGGCCAATGGTGATTTGGCAGAGGCTGCTGAGAAACTAGAGGTCATCAGGAAAAAACTTTCAGTGAGTCTAAATATTATGTTTTTTTCATGTTTAAATATTAAATATAAGGATTTAGAGAATAGGAATATATGTTCCACTATTTATAATGTATTTTTACTTCATTTCCTGTTATTTGTTCCTTTTAATCAAATATAGTACTTTGCAAAAGTGTTCCTGTTGTTTGAACTCATCCTTCTTTGTCTCATTACAACCAAAAACCTCAAACAAGTGAAAACTGGGGCTCACCTTAAGTCGGTACTTTTTGTTGTTAGAGCTCATAGTCTTTGGGTGTCTCTACCACTTTTACACAGTGAGAAACATAAGAAATTTTCCAATCATATCTGCAAAATAAAAATAAAAATCAGAGCATATGTGAACAGTTATCATGAAATTGCTTTCATTTTAACATTTAATTACAGCTCTGTACCGTGTTTGCTTCCAGGATTGTCCTCTGTTCAGTTCTATTCATCTACTCAGAAACTTTGAAAAGCTTCTAAAGGCAGTTCTTTGTGGTAGATTTTGTTTGGGTTCTGCATGAATATGTGTGCATACCACACTTTGCAGATTTTTGTTTGTAAATTGTTATAAAAACCATGAGAAAATTATGCCTTTTCTTTACATTCGCTCCACGGTGTGTTTTCTCTAAAATCCATTTCAAATAAGTCGAGTAATTGGATGCAAGCTGACAAGATTTTTTTAAAGTTTGAGGCTTGTGGTTATTTTTAACTATATATATTTTGCCAAACAGTGTTAAACATACGTAATATAAATCTTTGTCTGGCTGCAGGAGCTGGATGGTAATCTGGAAGCACTGACAACAGCTTTTGAGAAAGCCACAGCCGAGAAACTACGTTTTCAGGAAGAGGTGAATCGCACCAACAAGACAATAGAGCTGGCAAATCGGCTCGTCAAGGGACTGGAGGTGGGCACGCATCTAATAATGTTTAGCTCTATAATATAAAAAGATGTTTATCCAACATATATCATTTTAGAGCTGATCAATTTCAGTTTTTTTCATTAATAACATTTGGTTTATGTGTAGGATCCAAAGCAAGCGTTTTTCTTTCTATTTCAGAGTGAGAATGTGCGCTGGGCCCACTCAGTCGCTCAGTATCATGAGCAGGAGGAAACTCTCTGTGGAGACGTCCTGCTAACAGCAGCTTTTATCTCCTATGCCGGCTCTTTCTCTAAGAAGTACAGGAGAGAACTGCTGGAAAATCTCTGGATGCCATTTCTCCGCAGCCAAAAGGTTACAAGTCTTTCCTTACACGTGTTATACAATAAAAGAAAGTTAAGTCTACATTGTTATTTAAACTTTTATCCTTTTTTTTTTATAAACACCTAAGGTACCCATCCCAATGGCAGGAGGCCTAGATCCAGTCTCAATGTTGACTGATGATGCAACAGTGGCCCAGTGGAACAATGAAGGCTTACCAGGAGACAAAATGTCCACTCAGAATGCTACCATTCTCATTAACTGTAAGCAGACGGTTGAAATGTTATTGTTCATCTGGCCACTCTTGTGGCTTTCTCTTTTAATCCAAATAGCTAAGGTAAAGTGGGGCTGCGATTACTCAGGTAAACATATCCTTTGTTACAGGTGAACGCTGGCCTCTTCTCATTGACCCCCAGCTGCAGGGCATTAAGTGGATCAAGAGTCGCTATGGGAACACTCTGAAGGTCATCAGTCTAGGGCAAAGAGGGTGAGTATTTTCAGTCTTTGTTGTTAACCTTTTTATTAAAGTGAATGCTGCCATGTATATTTTATAAAACTCTGAAAGAAACTATGCTGTTCATTCATCTCATTTATTTATGTACGAGTACAAGCATTTCTATAAAGAACATTGTATAAAGAGAGCAGATAAAAAGCATTCCTACAGCAGGATGCTACAACCACCCAGTTTCACTGTCCTGATGGTGTTTCCAGGGTTATTTGCAGGGTGCTACTAGTGTAAAATTTGTTATTTTAGTCTTAACTGAGCAGAGCTATTTTTTTTCATTGTATGGTATGTTTTCTAGGTGGGTGGTTAAGATCTTTTAAAAACCTTGTCATCTTTTAATAAGCATTGTCTTTCTTCCTTAAACTCTTTAATGCAGAATACCGGTACATATCTTGAGGGCCAGTTAAAAAGTGATCTTGCCTGAACATTTGCTCACTACAGCTCCTCCAAAAACTTCATGGTCCTCTTGGTCGCTTCTCTGATAAACCATCTTTATTAACTGTTGATCTGTCAGTTTCTGTTGATTGCTACTGTATATCTTGGTAGGCTTTGTGTTTTAACAATATTTTCAGACAGATTCAATGGTGATCTGCATGAATACTAAAACAAAACCTTGGAGGCCTTCATTCAACAACTGTAATTAGATTACACACAGATTCTGATTACTAATAAGTGGTAATAAATTGTACCTCCTGTCACAGGTATATAGGCTATGGCCATTTAATTCATTCTGTGTGATCCTAACAAATCTTTTTTTCAGTCACTACCTTCTTCATGGACATGATTTATTCTTTTTTTTTAAATATTTTTTTAGTACCGCACCAGTAAATTATGCCGTCTACTATCATAAAAAAAACTATTTGAGTTTTGTGATGATGACCATCTAAAAATGTCTGGCTCCTTTGGTCTTCAAGAATACACAGAAAACAAAATTCAAATTGTGTCCTCCACAGAGCAGCTCCCTATAGAGCTAGTGTACTTTATGGGAGATAAAATTTGTTTCATTGTTTCATATTCACTAGAGTTTCCAAAAGCCATGTTATATCTTCTGGTTTTCAGCTTCATATTAGCTTGCTAATCCTAATAAACACATTTATAAACATGGTTCAACTGCAATGGCTTACATTGTATAACATATGAAAAAACACTGAAAATGTGTATCACTAAGAGACGGAAGGCCTGCACTTTGAAAAGCAGCTGCTTGCAAGCATGTAGGATGTAAGATTAATAAGCTGTGCTATTTGGGTATGTTCAGCTTTAATGCACTAGCTAAAGTCAGGTGGATGGTAAGAGTTTAAGGCTGCCAGAATAGGAGGCCTGAGTGAATATATGGCCAATTCTACTCTGTGTCTGTCTATCACATAAAATCCTATTGAAAGAAATGTTCAAACAGCACTATACAATATTAAAGTGATGTTGTTCCATTTTCCAGGTATGTAGATGTTATTGAGAAGGCTGTGGTGGCAGGTGACACGGTGCTTATTGAAAACCTGGAGGAGACTATTGACCCTGTCATCGACCCTCTGCTAGGACGACACACAATAAAGAAGGGCACGTAAGAGGAGGATGCCAACACGAGGATATGCACTGAAATCTAAAGTTTTATTTTTTTTGCTTTAATCCTTTCCTTATCTCTTCACTTCCCTTGTTGTAGCTGTATAAAGGTTGGGGACAAAGAGTGTTTCTTCCACCCAGACTTCAGACTGATTCTTCACACTAAATTGGCCAATCCTCACTACAAACCAGAGATCCAAGCGCAGACCACCCTCATTAACTTTACAGTAACCAGAGACGGTCTGGAGGACCAGCTCTTGGCCCAGGTTGTAAATCAGGAAAGACCAGACCTTGAGCTACTGAAGGTGGGTTAGAACAACAGTAATGTTACTACTTTGTATCACTATTTGCCAATTGCATAGTGCCTCCAGCTATTTTTTTATACTAAAGTGTCCTTTTTTGTTTTGGTGCTTCTTAAATGTGAAATCAATGTTATTTTGTATATTTAAAGTGGCACTAAGTAATATTTTTTTTACTTTGATGGTAATCTAAGTGTTAATGGGTGGTCTGTCATCTACCCTGCTAAATCTGGTTGGAAAACCACAATTGTTACTTTCTGTGCCACTGATCTGGTGGCAGTCCCACAGCTCTGTTATAATGCAGCCAAATGTAAGACCACTGGCATCAATAGCCACCTGCCACTCACTGCCCTACTTACTGGTGATCATAAAAAACCTTTGGAAGTTTATGAAATTGCAGAGCCAACAAAGAAAAAAATGTCCAGAAAGAAAATACGAATTGGACATCAGGACAGGGCTGACACTAGAATAAATTCACTCCCTGAAAAGATTATAGACAATACCAGGGATGCAGACTTAATGCTATTATTAGACTTCTAAGTACTATATGTGCTAATGTTCTATTGGTGTTACTGCTGTCACTTTAGAGTGCTTGAGTTTTGTTGTGCCGTTATAAAACATGGAGAGGCTGAATCATATTATGAGAGTCGACAGGCAGAGTTCACTGACTTGGATAAAAGTCGCGATTGTCAATTTAAAGGCTCCTGTACAATAGTGTGCATTGTTATATATTAGATAGACGGTGTGCTTTAGCTGTCTAGTGTGGAGTGATCAGTTTTCAGAAGGTTCTGCTGGAGGAGAGCCACTTCGACATTACTTAGTTCAACTATAAGGCTTATAGTCTGTTTCTAATTTTCAGTTTTTCTGCAGAGTGAACTTACAAAACAGCAAAACATGTTTAAGATAGAGCTAAAGCTTCTGGAGGACGAGCTGCTGACCAGACTGTCTGCAGCAGAGAGTAACTTCCTCGGCGACAACGTGCTGGTGGAGAAACTGGAGACAACAAAACACACTGCTGCTGAGATTGAAATGAAAGTAAATGAATAATTAAACAAACATTAAACATGACACTTAGCATGAGTGTCATGTTTTTATGCTCTTCATATTACATTTGACTTGTCATTTTCTTAAAGAGGAAATAGTTAAACTACAAAGAACTTGAGTGGTTTTAGAGAAACACAATTGTAGGCACATTTTTAGATTTATTGGGCACTACATGTAATCCATAAAGGGAATAAAATGTGTATACCTGTTCAAACCTTCCACTCATATTCATTAAACAGCCCTAGACACTTACTTTGTGTAGCCAGCAACAGGCTTCTGGGATGATTCTGACTTTATTTAAGCAGTCTTATTACTATAAAGGGTAGAGCCCTTTTCATGGCTAGAAATACCTTTTAGATATTCATAAGTAGTCTGGGGCTTTAAAGAAGCTTAAAGGAATAGTACACCCAAAACATGATTAGCCTTCATTTTCTACTCACCCCCATGCTGAACAACACTCTGGAGTACTTTTTTGATATCTCAAATGCATCTGGAGATCTGGGAGGTTTCTTGCTGTCTGCTGACATTGAAATAATGGAGGTCCATGGTGCCCGAGACAGAAAGGTCCATAAAAGTCCACAAAAAACGTGTCAATATTCCTCCATACTGCTCGTCCAATGTATTCCAAGTGTCCTGAGTGGGTAGCATCCAGAATTTACTCGAAACGAAGTCATTTAGAATGTTTTTAGAGCATAAACAGTAGTGTATAGGATTTCCTGAAAGCGCGCACATGCGCGTTCACGACGCTACGGAAACCGCGGCAGACCAAACCGGATGAAAGTGCGCATTCAGCTCAGCAAAGAACTCATGCTCTTTGCAAAAGTTAACAGATTTTTACATTTTTTTTCAGTTTAGTATGGGAAAAAGGTCAGAATTCTGACTTTAATCTCAGAATTCTGACTTTTTTCTCAAACTTTTCTGACTTTTTTCTCAGAATTCTGACTTTTTTCTCAGAATTCTGAGATTAAAGTCAGAATTCTGAGAAAAAGGTCAGAATTCTGAGAAAAAAGTCAGAATTCTGACTTTAATCTCAGAATTCTGAGAAAAAAGTCAGAATTCTGACTTTAATCTCAGAATTCTGACTTTTTTCCCATGTTAAACTGAAATAAAATTTAAAAATCAGTTTACTTTTTTTTTTTTCAGTGGCCCTAATCCTCTTCCGTACTTCCTCAACACTGAAGTCCTCAGACATTTTTCTTTCGTTGTTTCTTTCTTTGCACAGGTAAACAGCACATTTCTTCTTCTACGCTTGCATTATCGGCAGAGCAGACGCTGAATGCGCACTTTCATCTGGTTGGTCTGCCGGCTTCCGTAGCGTCGTGAACGTGCGGGCACGCGCTTTCAGGAAATCCTATACACTACTGTTTATGCACTAAAAACATTCTAAATGACTTTGTTTCGAGTAAATTCTGGATGCTACCCACTCAGGACACTTGGAATACATTGGACGAGCAGTATGGAGGAATATTGACACATTTTTTGTGGACTTTTATGGACCTTTCTGTCTCGGGCACCATAGACCTCCATTATTTGAATGTCAGCAGACAGCAAGAAGCCTCCCAGATCTCCAGATGCATTTGAGATATCAAAAAAGTACTCCAGAGTGTTGTTCAGCATGGGGGTGAGTAGAAAATGAAGGCTAATCATGTTTTGGGTGTACTATTCCTTTAAGGGAGGGTTTTTTATTATTTTTTTATATTTTAGAACTCTAACCAGCTGAGATGTTATGTAACCCCTTCTTCCTGACAAAAATGGCTTAAATACACCATTGAAAGGCTAAAATGCAGGACATTGATGCCTATGTTGCATGAATGCCAGTTTTCCAACTGTATGCTATCATAGTTTTTATTCCAGTTTATGTTTGATTATTATGTATGTTTGTCTTCTCATTTTGTACACTTTTTTCCTCATCCTCAGGTGCTGGAGGCTAAAGTAAATGAAGTAAAAATAAATGAAGCTAGGGAGCACTATCGCCCTGTTGCAGTCAGAGCATCTCTTCTGTACTTCATCATGAATGATCTCAACAAGATCAACCCCATGTACCAGTTCAGCCTAAAGGTAACCAAAGGGCAAAGTTTGGAACTATCTCACATTTATAATCAAATAAGTTTGATTAGATGCATGGTAAACAAATTACTGCGATCCGATGAACACAAATGTATGTGTTGTCCTCAGGCTTTCAACATTGTTTTCCACAAGGCGGTGGAAATAGCAGAGGCTTGTGAGGATGTAAAAAGCAGAGTAAACACTCTCATTGACTGTGTTACATACTCCACCTTCAACTATATCAGCAGGGGGCTGTTTGAGAGAGACAAGCTCACATTCACAGCACAGCTAACCTTCCAAGTGTGTCTTCCTGGGTTTTAAAGTCAATATCAAAGAACAAACATCACCTTCTTATTCTTGTCTGTATTTTCTCTTCTTACAGCTTCTCCTTATGAGCAAGGAGATACATGTGAGAGAACTAGACTTTCTGCTACGCTTTAACATTGACCACCACTACGTTAGTCCCCTTGACTTTCTCTCTAATTCATCATGGAGCGCCATCAAGGTTGGCATGCCGACTTTCTGAGTTTGCTTTGGTAACTGTGAATAAAGCCGTTTATACTGGTAGATAAGCTGTTGCTCATTGTGTCCAGGTGATGAGTTTTACTGATGAGTTTCGGGGTCTGGATCGGGATATTGAAGGCTCACCTAAACGCTGGAAGAAGCTAGTTGAGTCAGAGTGTCCAGAGAAGGAGAAGTTCCCGCAGGAGTGGAAAGGAAAAAGTTCCCTTCAGAAACTGATCATGATGAGAGCCTTAAGACCAGACAGAATGACCTACGCTCTAAGGTGAAGATGGCTTTGCTTTTATTTTCTTTGTGTTTTTACCAGATTAAAAAAAGATGATATATAATATTTTCTTGATAAATATTAAATCAACTCATTTTGTATAATAGTCCTTTCACTATGTATCTATTCTCGAAAACTAGAATTGTTTATACTTCTTTGTTAATCCATTAGGAACTTTGTGGAGGAGAAGCTGGGGGTTAAGTACACAGAGGGTCGAAAGTCTGAGTTTGCAAAATCCTTCAGAGAGAGCGGTCCTGCTTTCCCAGTATTTTTCATTCTATCGCCTGGAGTGGATCCCCTAAAAGACGTGGAATCACTGGGTAATCAACAAAGAACCATGCATACCAGAATCATTGAAATACAGTGTTTTGTTTAAGAATTCACCAAAACTTAACATCACAACCACATAAGGTTTTTCCATGTGGTCATCTAGCATAAAGAAAAACGCAACTGTGACCTGGACTAAAAACAGTACAGGCTGTTTTAAATATTATAGGATGAAAACAATCGGTGGTGACCATTTTAAAATATTCTCTCAGATATTCCTAAATAGAATTCAATCATAAGAATTACTTTTATCCTATCCAGGTCTCCTAATAAGTTAAAGGCTAAAGATGAAGATTTTTCCTCTGTGAAAGGTGCCTTTCTAAGTTGTTAATCCAGTTTAGCTTTATAACTGAACTAATAGGTGGTAATAGGTAATAGCTGACCTGTACAAATTTAAGCTGTTGTAACGTTTTCTTTCTAAATCTCATTAAAAAAAATATTGATTTCATTCTAGTTCATAATAGAGAAAAAAACAAAACAAAAGATGTTATTGATGCAAAGAAAAACTGGGCTGATATTGATAGAAGAGCTTCATGTTATTGCCGAATTTCCGTAAGAAAAAGTTTGATGAACTGAAGACTGATGACCAACAATAATGGTATTAGACATTGATAAAAGCATACATTTCAACATTTGCCATAGCACCCTATAACTAAGTGTTCTTACACAGAAATGTGTGTTCACTCTTAATTTTTTTGTTAAATCTTGAGTCTTAAAACTATTGGTTTTCTGTTATTGCACATATAAAATAAGCTTCCCTGTATTACCAGGAGGAAAACTGGGTTTTACTATAGACCTGGGAAAGCTCCACAACGTCTCCCTGGGTCAAGGACAGGAAAGTGTGGCTGAGATCGCAATGGAAAAGGCTGCCAAAGAGGGTCACTGGGTCATATTACAGGTCTGTAAAGAAATATTGAGGGTGTTATTTCAACAACTAAGTTTTAAATATTTATGCAAAATTAATATGATTTTTTTTTTTTTCAAAATTTGTTAATCACACTTTTGTGCATACTGTATACTGAGTTTTGAGTAAGCTATAACTAGCTATAACTGCTGTTTACTTGAAGAACATTCACCTGGTTGCTCGCTGGTTGGGTTCACTTGAGAAACTACTGGAGCGCTGCAGTGAGGACAGCCATCCAGACTACAGGGTGTTCATGAGTGCTGAACCAACCGCTACTCCTCAGGAACACGTTATACCACAGGTAGCTATGCTGTTCATAAGCAATAATTAAAAAAAAAAAAATATATATCCTCTTTTTTCTACAGGCACTCTCTATAAAAAGATTATTACACCTAAAATGCTAAATGGTGTTTGCAATTTGTTCTTCTTACTTGCATGTAATTTTTTTAGGGTATTCTGGAAAATGCTATCAAAATCACCAATGAACCTCCTACAGGGATGCATGCTAATTTGCATGCAGCCCTGGATAACTTTGACCAGGTGAGCTTTTCTTCCTGCTTGCCACAATTGATATTCAATATGTGTCTTTGTCTTGATGAACACTTCATTGCTTACCTTTCGGCTGCAGGACATTCTGGACCAGTGCAGCCGTGAGCAGGAGTTTAAGACCATCCTGTTCTCTTTGTGTTACTTTCATGCATGTGTGGCAGAAAGGAGAAAGTTTGGGCCACAGGGTTGGAACAGAAAATATCCATTCAACACTGGAGACCTTACTATATCAGTTAATGTCCTCTACAATTACCTGGAGGCTAATACACAGGTGCAATGCATTCTTTTCTGTTAGGTGTTTACACAGTGGTACTTGCATTACCAGATGTTTCATTTGAATCATATTGAAAAAGGTTCCATGGGAAGACCTGAGGTATCTGTTTGGAGAGATTATGTATGGAGGTCACATCACTGATGACTGGGACCGGCGGCTCTGTAGGACATACCTGGAAGAATATATGCAGCCCAACCAGGTTTGTTCTTAACAAAATATTAGCTTTTTTGGTCGTGTTTAGCTGATGGGAAAATGGACAAAGCACAGACTAATATCATGCAGGTAAGAAGCAACCCCCTGCCACCTTGCAAAACATTTTTTTCTTCTTGTCACCTTTAAATATTTACAACATCACACAAATATTAATATCTGAAAAAACATAGCCCAAGTTTAAAAATCTCAAATCATAACTTAATTTGCTAGGATATAAACAGCATCAAATTCAACTTGAAATTTATTTGCACCAATTTTAAATCTAGAATTCAAAATTCTTGACCACATTTTTTGTTAATTTTACATTCATAGCCAGGATTGATTGTCCCTGGATGTGTAGATGCAAAAAATGCCTTAAACAGAACCTGTCTTTAACATGAGGTAGGTCACAAAAAGTAATGCACCCTTCTCATTTCTTAAAAAATTTAAGAACAGCTGAGAAACAAATTGTTGATATCAATCAGCACAGAAAGGCTTTAAAAGCAAATTCTATGGATTGTACACTGTGTACACTGTGAGAACACATTAAATCAGAGGTAAAGGAGTAGCCATGATATAATTAGTTAATGATTTAAGGCATACCATGAATTAATTTAAACTTTCACTGTGGGTCAGTGGACGGGGCTAACTTTGATTCTGCTGTTCTTTTGCAGCTCCCACAATACCACATCTATCTCATATGTTTATTAGATATATATTTCAGACCGAACTACGGATATAGATACTGGATTTGTTCACACAGTTTGCTATAAATAAATTGTATACAATTTTTGAATTTATTTCCATCTTTTCCATTGATTATATTGACTGTCAAGTAAAAAGTAAAACCAGAGAACTTTTCCTATTTTGCTCAGAAGTAGCTAATCAGATGCCAGAGTTTCTATGAGAGAGACCTTAGTCCCGCCTCCTTGACTTTTCAAAGATATGTGACTGTTTAAAATAATTCATGGTGTGCTTCAGCACAGGAAAATAATTTAAATTATTAAATCATAACAGAATTGTATTTACTTCATACAATTAAATAATTAGCTATATTTAACTGAGGTCCATATCATTCTTGGACATTTATTGAATAAATTCTCTATTTATATCCCATATTAATAAAATAATTTCAAATAAAAATGATTTCATGGGGTATTTATTTATTGAGTTGATGCGCTTAAAAAAAACAGAATAATACTTCTGCATTCCTCACTGGCTCTCAGTTGAAATGAACTCTCTGCAGTTATGCACCTCGTCCAATTTATTCTATATTTATGTTTCTTAAGGCTCTGGACAACATCATATGATTGTTTAAAAATACCAATTCTACCAATCTCTACCCTTTAATGCAATTCAATTTATTTTATTTATAAAGTACCAACTCACAACACATCATTACAGAGACAATGCTGTCAGATTGGTTGACTTGCAAGTAACGCTTCTCCTGGTTGAGCTTGCAGTGATGAGTTTTATTGCATTTTGTCATTGATTCCTCAATAATACCCAACACTGAGCATGCATTAAGCGACAGGGTTCACAATATTAAGGGAAAATCTAACTAGTAATTATCAGTTATAAAGGGCAAATTTATAAATTATTTGCATCATATTTGAGTCATTTTTGTCCAGTATGCTGTCCAAATTTTGCTGACCTGAACAACTGATATACAATAAAAAAAGTTTAAAGAAAGAGTGGGCACTTTTCAAAATACTGGAGTGTGACCATATTAAATGTTTATTTCCACTTTGAAACAAGAAATCGCTCAACTGCTTAATGTTATTAAGCTGATCAAAGCCATTTAGTCACTATGAGAGAAATCTGTTTTTTACAGTGCACTTTAATCTGACGGGTGGTGATTCTTTTTTCCGTCTTTTAGTTTGACCGGAAAGTTACTCTGGCACCAGGATTTGTTGTCCCCTCCAATCTGGACTACCAGGTATGAGGGAACAAATTTTTTTGAACTAGTTTGATCTGGCGAATCTTTACAGTGATGATTATTGCTTTAAAACCTGTGACAAGCTAAGCAGAAAAATAATGCAGTCAGTCAGCTGGCCATGAGGTTCAGACTTCCTGCAAAGCATACGCTGTATTTTTACATTTCATATGCAAGTTCCTGAAAATGGATCAGATATATTTTGGCCCATTAATTGAATTTTCCTTCTTCTCAGGGCTACCATGACTTCATAGATGAGATGCTGCCACACGAAAGCCCAGTTCATTACGGACTGCACCCAAATGCTGAAATTGAGTTTCTCACTGTGACGTCGGATAATCTTTTTCACACACTGCTGGAGCTGCAGTCTCCTGATGCTGTAATGGGAGAGGGAGTATCACAGACGCTAGAAGAAAAGGTAGGATTTATCTTTCCTAAGAAAGGGCTAAAACTTTCAGAAACATTCTAATAATTATCATTATTCAGTCAGTTTAAATACCAGAACTTCAGATTTTTAGATTCTTGTAGAAACAGGCATAGCAGTGGCATTCTGTTAATACATGTTTTAGTTTGCTGGGTTGTTTTCAATCTGTTAAGGAACTCATCACTCTACTCACTTGCAGGTAAAAACTATTTTAGATGAAATTCTGGAAAAGCTCCCAGAGGAATACAGTATGTCAGACATTACATCTAAAACCACTGAGCGGACTCCATACATTCTAGTCTGCTTCCAGGAATGTGAGCGCATGAACATGCTCATTTTAGAGATCCGCCGGTCATTGAAGGAGCTCGATCTGGGACTAAAAGTATGTTTGAAGAAAAATTTATGCACAGAAGGCCTAATGTTTTACCTAATGTATGTCTGATGATACATAATCTTTCCTGAATGTGTGTGCTCAGTGTCATAATGTATAGTTGTCTGTGTAAAGGGTGAACTGGCCATGTCTTCTGAGATGGAGAAGCTGCAGACAGACTTGTTCTTCGACAATGTCCCTGATACATGGACCAAACTTGCCTACCCTTCAACCTACAGTTTGGCGATGTGGTATGTTGCAGCACTTTAACGTGCTTCAGTAGAAGGGGCTTGTAGTTACAAGAGTTAAATTTACTTTTATGTAAGACTAGAGAACTCTTGTAGTGTTACTGTGACAATCACTGGCTACTTTATTAGTAATTCCCAGTCTAAAAGCAAATTTGAACAACTGGCATTAACTCAATGTGCTTTAGAAATGGTATACAGGAATTTCTTCTAAACATCTATCTGTTTGGATTACAAATAAAACAGTGAGATAGAGTGAAAATATCCAGTGTGTAGCAGATAGATTAAAAGAAGGCCTTGTTGATGAAGGTTAGAGGAAAATTTAATTTTCCTGCACAACTATCTCTTTGGATTCCAACAAACAGTTAGATAAAACAAATATACCCAGTATGTAGCAGTTGGATGAAAAAGGCCTTGTCGATGTCGAAGGTTAGAGGAAAATAGACAGACTGATTTGTAAAGATAGAAAGGAAAGGCACATCTGCTACAACTAAGATTTATTTTCTGATACCATTGTACACTTCTGACTTTACACAGATAATCTAAAGTATAAAAAGCAGCAAAAAAAATATGCGTAACTCCTTTCCTATCCAAAATTGAAACTGAGGATACACCTGTCTAAGACTTTCCAAAATGTATTTTATCAATAGATAGGGAAATTTGGTAGCAACCTATAGATGGTAAGCATGGATCACAGTAGCCCTACTTCTGTCACATTCAGAAGTAGGGCTACACTGATTGATCAGCCAGCCGATCGATCGGCCTCAATTTTCTTAATGTTTGGAGATCAGTTATTGGCCAATTCTTAGATGTTAAATCAATCTTTTGCAAAAGTCTGAAAATCACCCATTGTCAATGCTCTAAACTTTTATATTTTAGATTTATATTTGAAAGCAGTTGTTTCAGAAGTTTTTATTGTTTCACAGGTATGGATTAATATATTTTAGTAAAATAAGATTGAAATATTAAAGGTGTCTTGTGTTTATATAACAAAAGACAGTGTCAGTTGTAAAAAACAAACAAAATCTGTATCAGTCAAAATCAGTTTTTTTAAAGATTGGGATTTGGTGATTGGTGAGAAACCTGCAAATGGTGCACTTCTATTCGGAAAAACTACAGTACATGTACAAGGAAAAGGGATCCAAACTCTATGCTAGAAAGGTGTACCTAAAAATTTTGCTTTTAATGTGTAGTAAAAACAGGAAAATGATTTAAAGTAGCTGACATATAAATAAAAATTGTAACAGTACTAAATGTATTGTGAAGAGGCTACAGTAGTATCATGTCTGATGCTATTCAGACTGGACTGTATGTCTGTGTATCATAAATAAGTTGTCATCACTTAATCTGTCTTGTATATAAAACATATTGCATGGCATTATTTGTGAAAAGTCTATATGAGAGTATCAAAAAATAGGTTAAACTAAAAAAGCATTAAAAAAATGCGTAGACCTCCACCGAGGAGCAAATTTTCCCCCATATTGTGACTTAAACCTACAGCTAAAACTTGAACATGATCTGGAACGTTAGCAAATTTGAATGAATTGTTCCTTGAATTTGATTAAAATTCCATTCAGTTATCCTGTTATCCTGTACACACCACACACACCCACGCACGTCGGGTTCTCTAAACACGTGGGGACTTTCTATTGACTTCTATTAATTTCTAACCAATTTCTACAGCATAACCATGACCCTTAACCTAACCCTAACAATTCCCAACATACACCTAACCCTAACCTACACGGAATTCACACCATAGTCCCAAACCTAACCCCAACTCAAATAACAGAACTTTATCATATGGGACCAGTAGATTGTCCCCATATGTACCCCTGTAAGTCTCTGCATGTAGGATATTTTCTTGACTTGATTAAATTATAAAGTACTGTGACATGACATGTGTTGAGAATGAGTGTTATATAAATACATTTAATTGAATAGTACAGTTAAAATAAGTAAAGAATAAAAACTATAAATAATTCAAGCTGCCAGACAAAAAGGTATATGAGAAATAGACTGTCACTAAGCTTATAAGTGTGGAAAAAGTAAAAGCATTTTTCTTATTAAAGGGTAAATACCAAAAAGGAGAAAGTTGCATGAAAGTTAAAATGATTCAGAATAAAAGCTAATTTAATGTACCTATTAAAACCGCAGCAATGGAAATTATTTAAAAAAAATTAAGTGTTGAGTTTATTTTTCAACAGTTCAACAGTCTCTATTTCATTAGGTTCAATGATGTGATGCTGCGTTGTAAAGAGCTGGACAGCTGGACCCAAGACCTGTCTCTGCCTAGGGTTGTCTGGCTATCTGGACTGTTCAACCCACAGTCTTTCCTAACCGGTAACACAAAAAAGCATTATTGCCTTTGTAATGCATCTGTGTCTCTGGGTTGATTATCACTACAAGCAGTTGTTTTTGTCTTCTTTTGCATCTCCTAGCTGTGATGCAGTCTCTGGCACGTAAAAATGAATGGCCTCTGGATAAAGTTAACCTTACTGTAGATGTAACAAAGAAATATAAGGAAGAATTCAACCAACCTGCCAGAGAGGGTGCATATGTGTATGGGCTATACATGGAAGGTAGATGTTGTGTCTTGCATTTTAACTCCATATAAAATTACCAATCTGTTCTGTCACTTTGGTATCACCTGTTGTCTATAACCAGCACAAAAAGCATTATCCCTTATTTTTCTGATTGTATCCCAGGTGCCAGGTGGGACACTCAGACTGGGATGATTGCTGAGGCTCGTCTGAAAGAGCTAACACCAGCCATGCCTGTGATTTCAGTTAGAGCAGTGCCCAATGACCGCCAGGAGACAAGGAACATCTATGAATGTCCGCTCTACAAGACCAAGATTAGAGGACCCACATATGTGTGGACTTTTAATCTGAAAACTAGGGAGCGTCCAGCCAAATGGGTGCTGGCTGGGGTGGCTCTTCTGCTCAGCGTTTAAATTCTTTAAGATAAGTGCTGACTATATCCCATTCATGAATGTTCTCTGAAGTGTATCAATTTACTAAAATAAATCTTACTGCAGTGAAATCAACCATGTTTTCTTTTTATTGAAAAATGATACAATATACAGAGAAAAATGTCAAAAATTCTCACACTAAATCACAGTTAGAACAGATAAAGTCTAAGCATGTTTATCAAATCAAATCCATAAACTACACAATACCTCATAAGCAGAAGGGAAACAAACAACAGTGCTGTCTCATTAGTGTGGCATTCAAGTACATCACACTTGTACCTCTTACAGTATGTTATGCAGCAGTTTCGAAGTAGTTCAAATTACACAGGTGAAGTCAGTCTGAAGACTTGCTAGGACAACACACCCAGCCCCTTTCAGACAATTGTTTGTATTTTTCTGACACATTTTAAACATATCAGATTCCTGTCATAATAAACACACAGGTCACTTTAAGCATCTTAAAAGATAACCTTTCTAACGAGGCATGAACAGGTGCAAACATGCTGGAGATAGATTCCTACCGCAAGTTATTGTGAAGCTTTTTACATTTTTTGCTGATTCAGATTTCTCTTTAAGATTTTATATGAAAAGATATAAAAACATCTAGCTTTTTATATGACCTTCCTGCCTTGAATGGTCTATGTTACTTTATATTAAAAACAGAAATGTTGTTGCAGTGTTTTTGTAAGGGATAAAATGATAACAGTTGGCAATTTTAAAACAGGTTTTTTGTGTTTAGCACATTAGCGTGGCAGTTATTACTGCATTCCAGTGTGCATATCTAAGGGAATTAAGACTGTCACCTTGACTCTGAGGTTTTCCAAACAGCTTTTAGTATTACCTACTTTGGACATCGCAGCAAGCTTAACTGGTAGTTACGAACATGATTGACAAATCTTTTGCGATAGTGGATTTTTTTATTCAATTGTCAGTGAAGGACAAGGTCAGGGCCTTACCAAATTGAGCCTCTTGTTTGAAGGCATGGACTGAGCAATGCCCGAAGAAGGTTCTATTGAGGCAATGCAGGACAAGATGACTAGCTATGGAGGAATAAGTCAACAAGAAGCTGTATTGCCAAAAGCCTATATCTGTGACGTAGGCGTGTACCAGCACGTACCATTCGAACGAATGAGACAATTCAACTGTAATAGTCATCATTTAACTGTATGAAGCATTGCAATGCATTTAAAGAAGATATACTGTAGATGTTAGAGTGACTGTTGTTTAAAACACTGACCAATATTAATGGCCTTTCCTTTTAAAAAGTTTTTGTCTGAAAGGGGTTTGGATTACTCTGCTATCTATCAAATCACATGGGTGTATTGTTCATTTAAAATGATTAAAGTCTGCCTCACCTGAACACTGTGACACAATCTGTAGTTCAAATGCTGCCTATGTGAGGAAGTTAAACCATTTTTCCATATTTGCTTGCTGTGAATGTATCTACCCATGTGTTTCCTAGTCACTATCGGACCAGTCAAGTTCCATCATGTCCATGGCAGCTGTTGCCATGTTGATCTTTGTTCCATGTCGCACGCTGCAGCTCTTCACAGAGTTCTGATTAGAAGATGCCCGCATGCTCACCTGCATCCCAGAGTGACCAATGACACCCACTTCACCTCTTATCTTCTGACTGATGGCATCACTGAGGTCGCCCCTTACTCCCTGGACTACAACCCCCACATCACTTCGGTGACCCCTGACGCCCAATTCACTCCTGACACCCTGACCCACCACTTTCATCACTCCCAGGTCGCCCATATTCATGTTCATGTCCATGTCGCCAATTCTGTCCATCTCCCCCATTTCCTCCATATCTAAGGACAGCATTTCCCCCAGGCTCCCAAAACTTCCTCTGAGACCTTTAAACATTGATGGGAGCCTGTTTCCTTCAAGCCCTCCTTCCACCCCTCTATCCTCTAGCTTGTCCCCTAGTTTTTCAATCTCCCAACCTACTTCCTTCTCTCTCTCCCCCTCTGCCTCCCCATATCCTCCTGAATATCCTCGGACTATGGTGGTCACTCTGCTTCTCTGCATGCCTCCTCTCTCTCTGTCGCCTTCTTCCCAGGTCCTCTCCTTCCTCTCAACAACACCTCCTGGGAAGCTCCTGAGTGTTACCTGGACTCTTCCTCCCTCTAGACTCCCACTATCATTGTGTTCCTTATGTCCCCAATCTTTCTCCTCAACAGTTCCTTCATCTTCCTCATCATCTTCAAACCTTCCCTGTAAACCTCGCAGCATGACATGCAGTCTGCCGCTGTCGAGTGAACCGACCCCTCTCTCCAGCACAGCGCTGCTTCCTCGTTCTGTGTCTCCATTGCTGAGCGTGCGGAGGAGACAGCTGACACCAGCGCTACTAACCCCTGCGCTGCTTAGGCTGTTGGAGTCCTGGGAGTGTGAGCGAAAGAAAGAGCCAGAGGAACCGATGGTCATAGGTGTGAAAAACTGATCAAAACAAAAAGGAAAAGGGTCACTTTGGTAGAAAAGCTCTCCAACTATTTTTGAGTCCACAGGAAGGAATGCATTGGCAACATGGCTTCTACTTACTGGTGAAATGTTTGAGCGGTCCAGGAGTAGAGAGGTTGGGCTGGGTGTCATGTTGGACCTCTCCATCAGCCTCTCCTCCCACAGTCTTAGCCTCCTCTCCCTCTCCTCCAACTCTTTCTCTTTGGAGTACAGCTCCCGCTCCAGCTTTCTAAGGCGCTCAAGGGTTGATTCAATTTCACATCTGCCGAAGCGCAAGTATTGAGACAAAAATCAGTTACAACAAACAAGAGGAACTTCTTGCACATCGAAAGCGTCTTAGAATAAGAAGAACTGCAATTAAGGACATGGCTGTTGTTTTAAATGGACTGACGGACTGAACCACAAATGCTTTAAAGGTGTTACCACTGTCGATGGCAAACAAGGTTGTTTTTTGGAAAGCAACTGACTTCACACAGCGCCACATTTCTTCTTACTAATAATGAAATTTGTTTATAATCCGAAACATAAAACAAGAAAAATTAGAAAACAAAATCTGAAGAGGGGCTAAAATATTTTAAAAGCACTATCCTTGGGTATATAAGAAGTCTTAGATTAACCCTTCGTAGATCATGCTGTTGCTTTCACTGAAAACTCCGCTGATTTCATTCACACAACATATGTATCAGCATATTCACACATGAGCTGCAGTACTGTCTGCTTCCACAGTAGGTCACTGTGGTTACTGGTGCCTGACTGTCTTCTTTAAACAGGTCCTCACAAACAATCACCTCTCACAGCAGCTAAATATAGTCTGAGCCTTGATGCACAGCCATACCTCCTGTGTTCCTTCAGCACAGCACTTCCCCGCTCATTTATCCCACCCCTTCACCTACTTAGCTCCCCCCCCCTCCAACTTTTTCCACCCATACCCAAACCTTCACTCAGAAATGATTGCCTTCATTGTGCTGATGGTAAATATGCACAGAATCTCACACCATTGCACCCCTGGTCCTCTGCCAACATCTCCCTCCCTCCCTTCATTAGTCCACCTTTGTTTCTTTTCTCTATGTTCATTGTTTCTACTTTGCTGAGCATTTTAGAATTCACATGCGCACATTACATTTCTGTTCCTCCCTAAACTTCGACTGACATTTTAATTTTCCTTTACGTCCCACATCCACCCTCCTCCTCCACCCAGAACTTCTCTGCATCTCCCGCCCCTGTGGAGGAGTAGAGGAATCTCTTCCATGGACACTTTCCAGACAGCTTAATATAGACTGAAGCCGAGTGCAGGGTCACACATGCAGCTTCTTTCCTGACTTTCAGATTCTCACAGAGTTGTTTTTTCATGTGTGCATTGTTGTTGGATCTGTCATGTTGTAATTCACCAGCAGCTTTTACTTTGCAAAAACTGACCGCTAGTGTTTTGTGTTATGTACCTCCACTGGTCCTTATTATGTAGAAAAGAGTTGCACTGGTCTGGCAGCCTGCTGTCATTTGCCATGGACTCCAAGGTTAGTAACACCTGCTTGAATTGTGGTCTTTCCTGAAGATAATAGTTCAAAATAAGACATGAGAGCTAACATTTTCTACTAAGGAAAACAAAACCTTTTCCCTACATCCAGAGGCTGTTTATCTTACCTTTGGATCTGCCTGCCAACATTTCCTCATCAACTCAGCAAAACTTGCAGGGCAGCTGGTGGGAATGGTTAGTCTCTAGATGCAAACAAAGAAACTATGTGACTAAGTAAACAACAATGGCTATCAAAAGGGGCACAGAAGTAAACTCTCAATTCATGGGTTAATAACATTGTGGTGACAATCTCTGCATGCTAATGTGTAGCAGGTATGTTTGCCAGACCTGCCATCTAAGCTTAGCAAATGATGTTGCCGTCATTTGCCAACAGCTACAATTACAAATAAATGACAAAATGGGTTTTGAATTGGATCGTTAAGATCATTTGAAGGCGTGATTTAATAAGATTTGATTTACAGTGCACAACATAACAGCTGCACTTTCATAATCAAATCAAAACCTCAGCCTTCCTCAGCATCATTGTGAAAATGTGGAAGGGCAGGAAATGATTTTCGTGGGGAGTTTTTTGTTTATGCATTCAAAAATGTTTAATGTTCTGCTTTTACATCTGTAAACTGGTTGTGCACCTCTAAGCATTGTGCCAACACTTATCATTTTCCTTTTTCAGATGTTTTCCATCTGCTGCAAATAGAAATGTTCAACAATAAAGCTTATAAAATGTCTTCTATAAGTATTTAGATTTCTTTGACTTTGGTCAACAGCCCCGACATCTGTTTTAAAGTGATAGACCAAAACTAACTAGTGCATGAATGAAAATGATTTGGTATTTTTTTTATCCATCCATCCATTTTTTTGTGAGCTTTCTACGGGCGAGAGGTCGGGTACACCCTGGAGGTCAGTCAGTCGCCAGTCTATCGCAGGGCAACATGGAGAAAAACAGGACAAACAACCATCCATGCACAAACTCACACCTAAGGAGAATTTAGAGATCCCAATTAACCCAACAGTCATGTTTTTGGACAGTGGGAGGAAGCCAGAGTACCCAGAGAGAACGCACGCAGCCCCAGGGAAAACATGCTAACTCCATGCAGAAAGACCCCGGGCCGGGAATCAAACCCAGAACCCTCTCGCTGCAAGGCAGCAGTGCTACCCACTGCATGTATTGCACAACTCAGTTCAATTCAGTGTTATATGTATTGGTTGTAGATCCTCTTCTGAATATGTATATAGCTGCAAGTATTTTTTTTTATTATTCTTTGTGAAATCTGTTCGCATCAGACTTTAAGGTGATAACCCGTTAACATATCCTATAAGAACTGATTATAACACTGATTGTTTTGTTTTGTTTTGGGGTTTTTTTGTCAAAAAGGTTTTTACTTGCATGATGGAACACTTTTGTACATCAGCCTAAAAAAACAGACAAAGACAAGGTGTTATTTTTGCACCAGTTATGTGCTGTACTTTAAAATTTCCTCGTTTATATGTTTTTAAACTGATGGTGCAGCTGAGTCAATTAATTTGAACTGAACAGAAAGTCATCCCTTCAAACATTTACGGAACACTTCTTTATATACTGTATAGTATATGTGGCATTGAACTACTTTCTTATCAGCAACCAGCAGCAACAATGTAACACCCTTACTGTAACTCTACCCCATTTTAAATCCCAGTGATAAAAGCATAGGTCCCAAAAACCCAAGACCCAGCCAACCGAGCACAGTAAATGGAAACTTTTTGTTCATCGGGGATTAATCTTAAAATATCTGCTACTCAAAGTGGAGAGACGGCTAGTTGAAGGGTCAGGAAGACATGTGCAGCTTTAGAAAGGGAAATCAGGCAGACTGGGAAAGAGGAAAAGAGAGACAGACTGAGTTATTTAGGGATAGTATTTGGAGTTTTGCCAGTAGCTATGCCAGATCCATGTTCCCTGGTTGTTTGTTGACCACTAGTGTCCATGTGTGTGTAAATCTGTTGCTGCTGAGGTCATTAACTGAAACACAGAGCTCATGTAACCACCATCCCCTACCACTTGTAAACCTCTAATATCAACCCTCCCATCTCTACATTTTTCTACCTCTCTCTCTTGCTTGTGAAGGCTCTTGCCTGCATAGAGTTTGGCCAAACCCCAATGCTGTGTATCCAGGCCTTACATGAACACAGAACTGACATCATGCCTAAAAATACCCAGCAGAACGAGCTCAGAGTGGAAAGCAAGGGAGCATTGCATTGTGCCTTTGGCTGCCTTGAACTCTGGTGGGTCAGCATGTTAGCAGAAGGCTTATGAAGGTGTCTATGCATGTGCAAAATACCTCTTGCTTTTCCACCACCAGCCATGCAACTTGCAGCCCCTCGAAACCTTTGAAAGGAACTTCCCGAGTCAGCATCTCCCATAGCACCTGGTCATAAAGCATATTGATGATTACAACAAGGAACTGCAATGTCTGTTCTGGGTCCAGATCAGTCATCACATCAATGTTTGTGAGGAAATATATATCCTTTGATTAAGCAAATACACATCAAGTGACATATTTCAATAGTTTATATCATTTTTTGTTTTGGTGAAACTGACTTAAAGCTAATGAAAACCCAAAATTGTATTCTTTAGAGAATTAGAATAATATAAAACAGCAAACAAAAAATGTTTATATAAAAAATGTTACGGTAGTAAGTATGGAACGCTACTGACTATTCTTCAATGGCTAGTAAATGAGGGTATGCCACATAAGGTCACTGATAAAGAAGCTGGCTGTTGACTGAATTTATATCAATAGAAAAGGTCAGTGGAAGGAAAAATATAATAGAAAGGATGCATCAGCAATGGAAATTAAAAGCAGTCTTTAAAGGATTGTGAAACAAAGCCAGTTAAGTTTCACAATAAGTGGGACCTACATCAGTCTCTAAAGAGCTGCCGAGCACACAAATATCCAGCAGAGCTATAAACTGTTACATTAAATTTGTTAAACCACTTCTAAACCAGGTTTAATGACCATGGCAACACTATGCTTGATTGCCCTTACTGCCCTCAAGAGAATCCATGGAGGATTTTCTAGAAGATCTGAGACACAAGCCTGAATAATGCAGAAAGGCTGAAGAACAGAAAAGCAGACTTGGCTTCCAGTAAGCAGTGCCTGAGGCTCATCGCCTGCATGCCACACTGCAGTGATTCAGTAATTAATGCAAAAGGATCCTCTAACAAGTATTGCACAGAAGGGAACAGAGAGTCAGATTCAAAAAACTACAATATGTGTTCTAAATAGGCGCATTTGTCAGATTAAAAGGCACTAAACGTTAGGCAAGAAGTAACCATTTGATTACGTGTACATCACGGTAAAATATCACCATGTGTTTAACTGAAATGTTATGTGGTTATAACCGTACTCTACAGTTCAGGAAGCTTTTCATTGTGCAAACATAAAAAAAAAAAAACACCAACACCTTAAGTATAAATCGCTGTGTGTAATGGAGCTCTAAAATAAAACCTTCAGAGCTGAGTTGCTCTGTTCCCTCAATGATTCTTTTTTACTTTATAGAGATACAGATATGACCAGGAAGAAAACCATACTACTCCTCCTGAAGCCAAGGTCAACAGGGACAACATCAGCTGGACTCCCCTCTCCAGCACCCTGGCATACTGTAGGCTTCCCTTGACAGGCTGAGACATGTGATCCCCCTATAGCTGAAACATACCCTCCCCATTCTTATGCTGTTCCACCATTCTACGGCCAGGACCGAAAAAAAAGCTGGTCCACAGTTTTTCTTCCCGGCCATGGAACAGTGGACCAGCTCTGCACTCTCTGCAGAGTGCAGGAGGGTTCATGGGAGTTTGCCCAACCGGTCCACATATGTTTTGTAGACCTGGAGAAGGCTCAGGAGACGACCCAGGGCACATTGGAGGGACTGCTGTCCTGGGAGCGCCTCCTGCTTTCCCCAGCAGAGCTGGAGGAGGTTTCAGCAGAGAGGGAAGTCTGGGAGTCTCTGTTGAGACTGCTGCCCCCATGACCCGGTCCCGGATGGAGCAGAAGATAACAAGTACAAATATGGCTAAATATATACTGTATATGCTTTTAATAAAGGCCTCTCCCATTTTTTTATTGCAACTGATTTTATATTGTACCAACTTACCACGCCGTATGAATAAGTGTCACAAGTCTCAGAGACAGGCAGACTCTGGATAACTTCAGGAGCCATCCAGGGAAAAGTGCCCACTACAGTCATATGGGTGGTGTGAGATAAAAACTTAGATGCTCCAAAGTCACATATCTGAAACCCCAAGATGAGAAATTGAAAATAAATTTAGTTACATATTTATAGCATGTATTTCTTTGATAAATAATACAATTATATTGGATACCTTTAGCACTTTATCTCCAGTCAATACCACTGTAAGTAGAACAAAAACCAGTCAGTGCTTAAAAACATGTCAGAAGCAAATGTGATCTAAGACTCAACCTCACGTATAAACAAAATTAATTTAAAAGAACCTAAATAAAAGATCATGTTACCATTTCGTGACTTGAGGTCTCTGTGTATCACTTTGACTGGAGCTTCTGCGTGGAGGTAATGCATCCCTGAATGGAAATTCATAATTTAGTCCCATGAAAAATATAATGTTTTTGGTTTTGTCATGTTCTCAATGAAATGACATAACAATATAAATTTGTTCAACATTTAAAATACTCTTTGTTTAAAGCCAGCCTCTTCAAACAAACCTTATTTGTAAGCTACTTTATAGCAGTTTATAGCAGTAACAGTTTTTTTTTACTTCAAAATCATTTTAGCAAAAGAAAGCATCTAACAGAACTGAGATTTTAAAATTGTACTCTCCCAAACCTTTTATAAGAAGTATAATAACTCCCCTTTAAGTTAAAACAAAGCCGTCTTGGCATTATTAAACTTCCTTATCTGAAAGAACGTAAACTTAAATGCATTATTAATTGAGCTAATAAAATGTTAGCACATATTCACATAGACAAAATTGTTGATGCCCATGTGTAACAAAAGAAAAACGTCCCTATTTTCGGTCAAAATTGACGTGAATCTGACCAAGGTAATAATAAATAGAAATTGTTTTTCAGACATGCTTCAACGGAATGATCTCAAATTATAAATTGCCATTTTTGGGTGTTTTTAGCTGTGTGTTTTGGGTCATTACATGACATGCTACTTAGACCGAACTCTCTGACACTGGGCAACATATTTCTCTCTAAAATCCCTTGATAGGCTTCTGGTTTCATTGCAAAATTCAAGCCATCTGTGACATCAATTCAAGACATCCTGTGCCAGATGAAGCAAAGCAAGAACAGGCAAGGCTTGTTTATTTGTATAGTACAGTTTATTACAGTTCATTGCTTTACATTAATAAAACTGTACAACAGAACCAAAAAAAAGCAAGTAAAGATAAAAACATGATAAAAGCAAATAGTAAACCAAGAGGAAAACAGTTAAACCACACACTTCAGTTAACTGTTTAATGTTAACAGTCAAAGGCAGTTCTAAACAATTGAGTTTTTAACTTTGACTTTGAAGTGTGTTTAATATAGGGGGATAGGAAGTAAATGTTGCTTCTCCATGTTCGGTTATGGCTCTGTATGTAAATAGTAGGCTTGAACTAGAAGACCTGAGTGATCTGGGAGGTTAATACACTGACGAATAAATTATGTATAGAGGTGCTGATCCATTCAGTGATTTATAGGCCAACATTAAGATTTCCAAAAAGAGGCAGTGTAGGGATGTCATAACCAGACTGATTACTTTCTTAGTTCTAGTGAGGATGTGATCAGCTGTCTGATGGACTTTTTAGGCAAACCTACATATGAAAATACTGTTCCATTAATCAATCCTACTAAAGATAAAAGTTTGAATGATTTTCTAGATCCTGCTTGGACATTTATCCTTGAATCCTGGAAATGTTTGTCAGGTGATAAAAGGCTGACTTAGTAACTGCCTTTATGTGCCTCTGAAGGTCAAGGTCTGTCTCTATCATGACTCCAAGATTTCGCCTATCATCACTGGTTGCTAGCTGTAGTAGCTGAAGCTTTGAGCTAACTCTAAAGCTCTCCTTCTTTTGTCTGAAGATTATTACTTCAGTTTTGTTTTTATTCAATTGGAGAAAATTATGGTGCATACACATTTTTATTTGTTATACGCATCTAGCCAATACTCTGATGGGTTCATAGTCACCTGGTGACATTGTCATGTAAAGCTGTGTGTTGTAGTTATGATAACTGATCTTGTTGTTGGCAATAATCTGAGCTAAATTGAGCAAGTAGAAATTAACAGCCCCATAATGGAGCCTTAAGGAAACCACATGTGTTTTAGTTTTTTCTGGTCTCTATTGTAAAATTCCTTAATGACACATAGAAATCCCTGTCCTTCAAGTAGAGATCAAACCAGTCAAGTGCTGTGTCAGAAAGACCGATCTAGTTTTCCAATAAAATCAAATGATCAACAGTAGGGCTGAACGAATTTGCAAAAATCTAAATTGTTATTATTATCAACCGGTATTGCAATTGTGATTTTATTGCAATTTCCCTTCACACTTAGCCATGTTGATATTTTACTCCAGGGTTTCAGTTTTTCCATGACTTTGAAAGCCTGCTTGTCCATAATCCAGTGCTGCAGGACTTTGCATGAAAAAGTTCTTACTTGTACTATAATGCATAGATTTAGGTGCTAGCTCTCTGTTCCATATAGCATAAACCACTTTAATTGTATTTCGGCCACCTAAGGGAGAAACTTTCTGTCTTACTCTTGTTAAATGTATTGTAACTAAAATTGAGTGTCTCTGCGATTTAAAAATTGCATTTTTTAAATTTATTTATTTATTTATTTTTTTTTTTTTTTTAGGCCTGGGGATGTGTTTATGATTTGTTTCAAATCAGATTCTTCAGTGATTTGGGTAAAACAGAAACACAGTATAAGTAGGAAATTAATAGCTAAACATTTTCTTGTGATTATCTGAACAGAAACCAAAAAATTTACTCAAAGTCTGGATTATTATCAAAGCCCAAGGAAGGTTCCAAAACAAAAAAAACATTTTACCAGCATCAAACATCCCATAACCTTTGATTGGTCCCCGGTTATTTGGAAATCAAAGAAGTTTCGAACCACCAGGACCCTCCCTAGATGAGCCACCTGACCAAACCGAACAGTCAGGGGATATGGACTGATCAAAAACTGATCTAAAACTGATCAAAAGACTGACCAACTAAGTTAAAAAAAAGTTGAATTCCTGCCTTCAGAAGGTCAGTTAAAGAGAGATTAGATGGTATCCAGCTGTAAGTCTTTCAAGAACTTACACATATAAGGAAAATGAGAAAAGGAAGAGAAACAGAATTTTCTGCTGTGAAAGAAACAAAATATCGCTTTATTGATTTAAACCCGATTAACAGTCAAGGTTTTTACCATTGTTAACATCATATCTGCTTTGAAAAAAAGTGGTAGGATCATTTTGCATAGAGGATAGGATGACAGCAAGCGCATATAAAGAGTATCACAACAGGGCTCCAAACTCAGAGCAGTGTGTCCCTTCATCTTTCAATACAACACTGAACCAAAGTACATGGTCAGTCCATAGTCCATTTATTAGCTGGTCCATCAGCGTGGATTTATATCAACTTGTATATTTCTACAGGGGACAGAAAACCTTTGGTGTCACCACCACTTCGATAGTTTCACTTAAAGTGAAACAAATGGTCAAAAGATGTGCTGACTGTGTTTTATACAGTAGATGGAGTTTAGCTATATGAGGTAATAATAATTTTTTTATATCTTATATATCATTCTAAACAGTTTGGTTATTCAAAGGAGGAGATGTGTTGGTTGATTTAAAGTCCTCAACTATAATAGGATGGTATTTATTAAAATTTTATTCCTATTTATTGATCAGAGATAAGAAAATCTGAAGAGTTTTCTGTAGCAACATTCATAATCGATAATAATGCACAAAAGAGTAACATCTGTTATTGCAATTTATCTTTTGGGCAATTAGATTTAAGTTATATTTTTAAAATCTTAGTTTTTGAGTTTCACCATTAAGCATCAACATAATATTTAGCAGGTTCCATATGCAATATGCTATAAGTTCAAACAAGTTAAAAACTCAAAAGAATAAAGGAAATAAAACTTGCATACTTCATTCGATCTCCCTCTTAATTGCTGAGGCTTGCCCTCTCTCTTACAGCCTAAAATCATTGCAAAGATTTCTGAAAAATTACAGACACAGCTCAATTTTAAATTCCTTTTTTACCTATTTAAATTAATTTTAAAACAGCTTACTGATACAGAAAACAGCTAAGTCTTTGTCTACTGTACCCAATAAAAAAAGCACTAACACAGAAAATAGTTGTAAGCACAGCTCTGTAACAGCTACTGTATAAAAGGTGGGTTTACTGACAATTTAAAAAAATCAGATATGGATTTTTAAACAGACTGGTCTCACCAAGGTATTAAACAGATAATTCCACTTAACCATTTATTTCACCATATCTCTAAATAATTAATAAATTTAAGCCTACCTTTGGCTATTTGTATGGCCCATGTCATTATCTGCTCCATGTCCATTTCTTCGCTCTGCTCACTTGAAATGTACTCATACAGAGAGCCTCCACTTGCATATTCTGTAAAGCAATTCACACACAAGCAATGAAAAACAATAAGCTAAAAAGAAAAAAATGTTAATTAATGCATCTATATAACTCAAAAGAAATGCCTTATGCTAAGTGACATCAGTATCAGCCAACAGTATTGTAAAACAAGGCCGGAGTTTTGAGTTAAAACTGTATCTTAACTGTGCAGTCAGGTCCAACATTACAGGCATATCCAAACATTTGGGGCTCAGTTACAAACATTGTGCCAGAAGGGTGGAAAAAGACTGAGTAATCAGAATGTTCTGATCATCTGAAACACATTTATAAATACTGCTCAGCTAAAGCATGTGTTAATGTGTGTGTAACTTTGGCCATCTCAGATCAAATACACCTGCATAAAAAAATAGGCTTCTACATCTCTAAACAACAGGACATTACATCCATTTTCCTCACAGATATATCATTTTACCCTTTTAAGTGTTTCTAAAAGTTAAATACTGCATCTGAGTTGATATTTTTACATTTACAACAACATTTTGCACTTTAAGCCCCTAAGTCATGTAAATGGTAACATAATCTCTCAAAGACACACAATGTGGGGTCTGACCTGTGACAATGCCATAGTTGGGAGATTCCAGCACGGCTCCATAAAACTGAATGATGTTCTTATGACTCAGTACACTGAGAATCTCAGCCTGGACGAGAAGACAAGGAAAAGACAGACTGAGAAACATAAACACTTTCATTGGGAAACTCCCTAAGTTTTCCAGTGTCTGGCAGTGACATAAAAACAACCTTTAATTGAAAAAAAAAAAAAAAAAACTTATCCTAATATCCTAAATGTTAGTCATCTATAACAGTGCCTGCAGGAGGACTGAGCTGAGGGTTTAATGAATTTCATTCCGAGTCTCCAAAGAGCTTCTACACCACATTGACAAACATGCAATTCATCAGAGTCAACGGATGCTCCAGATCATTATTTCTACACAGAAACAACACCCGCACACATAAACAAACGTGCCTCACTATCTTTGTAGGCCTTTTTCCATTGACTTCCTCTCATTTCTACAGCCTAATTGTAAACCTTACCCTAAACCTAACTTTTAGGGGTTCATATGTAACCCTAACCCCAACCTAAACTCAATTCCCACCTTAGTCCTTAATGTGACCCACGACCCAAATACAGCAATTTCCCTTGTGAGATCCAGACATCGGGACCCACAAGGAGCAGTAGGTCCCCACAACATGCTTTTTTTTCCAGAAAGGGGCCCCATTATGCATTAAAAACAAGAACAATGTGGCTTGGGTATCTGTTCTGGACGCCGCTGTTCCAGATGCCTCCTGGTCGCCTCCCTCGGAAGGTGTTCCAGGCATGTCATATTTGGAAGAGGCTTCATTGAAGGCCCAGGACAAGGACACGGTGGAGGAACTATGTCTCTGAGCTGGCCTAGTGTCATCTTGGGGTCCCCCCAGAGTAACTTGAGGAAGTGTGTGTGAACCTGGGAAGTCTGGGCATCTCTGCTTAGACTGCTGCCTCCGAGACCCGCCCCGGATAAACACGAAGAAAATGGATGGATGGATGGATGGATGGATGGATGGATGGATGGATGGATGGATGGATGGATGGATGGATGGATGGATGGATGGATGGATGGATGGATGGATGGATGGATGGATGGATGGATGGATGGATGGATGGATATAAAGCCTCTAAAGTTGTACATTTTATTACAAACACAAACTTTCTGCATATTATTGGGGTTTTCGGTGATGGAACAACACAAAGTAATGCTCTATCCTACAGTATAAGGATCGAATATCATTATTCAGATAAACATTTTAACACTTTGGCAGATCGTTTTCTTCTCTTCAGCCTCCCTCTAACAGTTTACAGCACCTAGAGCTGTTAGTCACTTTTGAATATTTCTCTCACAGCTCTTCACAACAGGAAACGAAAATTCTTTCCAGTATTTCGACCTCTGTCTAATGGAGAGCTCCTGTAAACATTGCTTTACAAATCTTGAAAACCCAACAGGATTCATGCATAGATTTTGAAAGAGCCGTTTAACTCGTACATTTTTTTTTCAGGCTTGGGCTCTATGTTTAGGATTGTTGTCCTTCCTGACAGTAAACCTTTACCTCAGTATCAAGTCATTTGTGGCCTTTAGCAGATTTTCTTCCAAGCTTGCCTTGGTTTTACCTTATTCCATCTTACCATTGGTTTTGTTCAGCCTATATTCCCCTAATGAACAAAAGCATTCCCACAGCATGATGCTGCCATCCCTATTTTTGATTGTGTGTTCAGGATAATGTGTGTTTTAAGTTTTTCTTCAAGCAGAAGTTGGAAATGAATTTAAATGTTTAACACTGGTCTTGACCATGCTGTCTTCATCCATTCATCTCGTCCTAGAGAGAAACTTTAAATCAGACTTCTCCAGTCTTTCTTTTTACAGGACTTCCCTCTTGCCACTCTTCAATAAAGAGTTTACGCGACTCTTCTATCTAAACACTCCAAGAAACTTGACTTCTTTAAATGCATCCATGTATGCATCCAACAGTTCAACAAAAAATCATATCCGGTAGGTTATCAGTTCTGCCTCCATCATTTTTAGATAACGGAAGGTAAACTTTATGGATTTTTAGTATATTTTCTTTTAAAAATATGAATATTTTTTTAATAATTAATCACATTTTAAACTTCTCCACAACCTATTCCTAAATTATCACTTGTGGTCCGAGGTTTATATTGTGTTATCCTTAATAGCACAGCTGTATTTATAGTGAAATTAAATCAGAAACAGGTACATTCTCTTTATCAGCAAAGTAAGTTGTAGTGGATTTAATTTATGGGGGTCAGATTCAAACTAGGCTGAACATAAATGCCAGACCTCTCAGACTTTCATTTTCATTAAAACTTTCTCTGTCATTCATTACAGTGCGACAGACTATGAAATACTTAAAAAACTGTTTAAACTAAAATGTGTTTATTGAAAAATCCTCCAATATTATTTTACATGTGTTTACAGGTATCCATAAAAATGTGCCATCACTAAGCTCTAGTATACACACATCTTCCCTCCCGCACTTAATCTGTATGCAACTGCAAATGCAAGCTGGATAAAAATACATCTTTCAGCTCACTAATTAATTGGTTAAGTTCCCGCTCATGTTCATGACAGCACTATTAGAGGAGATGTTCACCTCACCTAATACAAAATACACAGCCCCATGTTTTTATGTCCAAATGTGGCCAAGAATTTCAAGGAGATAGAGCAATACTCTGCTTTTTTACTAGCAGTTTTGTGCTATTAGTAGAAGACTTCTGGGTTTAAATACTTGAGAACTGCTGAACTGCAATGATGAAAGAAACAAATCACACATTAGGAGTATAAAATAAAACTAGACTGAGAAAAGAGGGTGGACAAATGAAGGTATGTACAGGATAGACATGTTCAATACCAGGCAGGGAGGGAATAGAAGGAACAGAGAGTCTAAATGTATTTGATATTTATGAAAATATAAAGCCAATACTAATTAATATTATGGATATAAATCAGTGCACTTTTAGCTTTAAAACAAATGTTCACATTTTGTTAATGCACTTGTATTTCTCCGCTTTACCTCTTTGTCGATCTTGAGAAGCTTCTTCACGGCCACCTCTTTGTCTTGGGATATCCAGAGGGCCCTGTAGACGCTCCCAAAGCTACCTCCTCCACAGTTTTCATAGAAAAGCAAATCCTCATGCTTTATCTGCACAAACGACGAGCCAGGGGACGACATGGCATACTGACATACAGACACTAAAACACACTCATGTACATACACACCACCAGGGGAATAAAAAAAAGTAAAGTAAAAAATCCTTAAGTCCAACCTCTGTCTATAATTGTAGACTAGTCAGAGATGAAAACAAAAAGAGATAAAGTGAAGAAGAAAAGGTTCCTTGTTAGGTTTGGAATAGGATGTTGTCAGTCAGCTCTACAGAGTGTCAAGAAGAGTAAACTAGAAAGTGCTGGAAAGAGTGGGAGAAGTTTGCCCTCCGTGAGTCAGAGCAGGTTGGCTGTCATGGCCAGACGAGGAGTTACATTGCCTGATAGTGGAGATTCAGTAGAACTACAGCATTGAGTGTGTGGATGTGTGTACACACACAAGCTCAGAGTTGAACTTGAAGAGCAGAACGGTTAGTCGTGTGTGCAGTGTGTCTGGAGCTGAGGCTGTTCAAATATGGTCACTGGCATCCAGGGCATTCCTTCTTCCTGGATAACTCTGGCTATATAAAGCTCTTCATATACTCCAAACAGATATAGAGCTCTAACCTGTAGAGCGCTTGACGTGCTTAACTACACTGACTGCCACAGATACTTCAGTCTAACTCTTATAGCTCAATTGTGTCGCTAAAAACACACTAAGAGCAAAGAGTCCAGGCTGAGACAGGGTGTTACTCATCCAGACAGGAAGGACCCAGTGACACCATCAGTGGGGAAGTCATGCTGACATCACTGTTTAGGGGCAGCTGGGATCAGCTATGGGAAGTTAAAACATCTCTCTGATAGTTTTTGATTGTAATTTAATGGGTTCCGGCTCTTAGCAGAAAAAAAAATAAAACCAAACCTCTGCTGTCAACTCACAGAAATGCGAGACAAGCTCTTGTGCTAAGCATGAATTAACTCTTGGACTTTACATTTTTACAGCTAAAGAGTAATTGTTAATTTACCTATTAAATATCCTTAAAGGCTTATGTCAAACAAAAATATTTAAATCATAAGTTTCAAAGCATTTAGTTAACCTCAATTAATAGTGATGTGTTGCCACTATTCAAAACTACTGTATTGGCATTTTGTAACCTTGAGGTGGATGGGACTCTTTTTATTTAAAATGTTCATAATAAGTTGGTGGTGGTAAATCTTAATGCTTAAGACATCCATCCTGCCTGAAGGTGAAACACCATGAAAAGACCAAAGCAGTGCTGATCCGATGTGTCTTTAAACAAATTCAGGCTTGAGAAGAAAGCTGCATATCTGTGAGAATACAACTGATGTCATGAGTGCCTGATACTAAAAACAGATCAGAACCAGATGCAACTTTGGCTTTTTGTCCCAAGCTTATGCCAAAGTGAACGTACATAATCTTAGAGAGTGCATTTGGATAACCTGATGCTCTGTGAACATCTTTTACTATTCCCTTTGTTTCTCACTGTTTTTATTAAAATATGGTTGAATTATAACATTCCTAAGTACACATAAGAAGTGATATTTGTAGAATCTGAGACAGACAGGTGTGATCGGTTTTATAGATCTGCCAATCTGGACTTTTTGGTTCTGTTTAGGTTTTCATTTTGGGTTCTCAGTTATGCTTTATTTTATGTTATTCTGTGTTGTCAAGACTTATTTCATTTTTGAATTCTTAGGTTTACTCTTCCTTGTTATCTCTTTTCAGCATTTTTGGTAATATTTATTCCTTGGTCTAGTTTTAGTTTTTTTTCTCTTATCTCTAGGTTATGTTTTCCATGGCTTAAGTTATCTCCATTCCCTTCTCTTATCCTCTAGTTATCCCCTTGGCCATTCTTTATTTTGTAGTCATTGGTTTTATTCACCTTTAACCTTATTTAAGTTCTTTTCTAGTTACAGTTAAACCCTGTTTTCCCTGGTTACACTTTGTTTCCACATATTGCCCAATTATTTTCCTCTTTGCTCCTTTCTAGCTGCTTCTGTCCAAACCTGCTCCCAATTAACTGATTACTCCACTCTTGGTGCAGTCTCCTGTATATAATCCTCCTAATCAGTTCCTTAGTGCTGGATTCTCTCCATTTCCTTCTTGTATGTTTCTCCATGCAGTAGCTTCTCTGCGTTTTGGTTTCTGGGTTGCCAGCCTTTTATTTCTGTATTTATCTTTTTGTACTATCTACCTCACCATTGAAACTACCAGAAAAAATCGCTGCTTCATCTACTCGGCATTCGGGTCCAAGACAACATCCACCTACCCTCACACCTAATCTGTGCAATTCTCATTGAAAACTACTACTATTCCATTCTTAGTTAGTCCACAGATATATCCATCTTCATTTCTGCAATTTGGCTCAAGTTACAGAAGTAATATGTATAGTATTAGATGGTATCTCTCCATCACTGATGACAGACTGCATTTTCTACATTTATCTTTATTTGACCAGTGTTATGGAATTCGATTTGATTGATAGGTCACAAAGGTAAAACAGTAAAGATTTCATAAAAGGTAACATTTAAGAGTGCCAAGGCTTAAAGAGCTCAGAATCTCGATCAGAGTGGTTGGTAGGAATTGATTTTTTTTCTACTTCATTCAGAGATTAGCAAATGAGTTAAAACTATTTCTAAAATCCTCTTACTGGGTGTATCCCTATGGACAATCTTTCGTTAAGTAGTTTTCAACCAACTGATCCTGGTAAGCACCACAACTGAATGGCCAGTGCATCTGCACATGTCCTACGTGACCTCAGTGGATTCTAGATAAAGTTTGAATTAGTTATTAGTTTGTTAATGGTGATTTCATTCTTGATTGCCAGCTAAAGTTTAAGGGAAGAAAAAACAATCGATCAAACTGATTTAATACTTTGTCACCCCTACAACAAAATGTCCTTACAAATGTTTACCAAAGGTTTTTTGGTTGCAGTTTGTAGTATGTAGCTACCCCTCCTCCAAAATAAATTGTTAATTTATTTTAGTAAATACAAATAAAAGACATTAGTCAGCCATAACCAGAGGAGCCAATCAGACTTCTTTTGACATCCATTTTTGGATTTGTTTGAGGTCTGAACTATTGCTTCCATTTTTTTTTCCAGTGTCAAATGTGTGCAGAGAAGTTCGAAATATCAAGTGGCTTTTATTGTAACAGCAGTCTTTTTTTGAAAATCACCAGCCCTTTACTGCTGAACCGACATCAAAAAGAAAGCTATTGGTTGGTGAATATATAAAGCGCTGTAGTTCTTTTTATCCATTTAATTTAATTTTACTTGGGAATCAAAGGTACAATCTTGAACTGAATTGAAACAAGGGGGAAAAACTAATTTTTTCATATATAACCATCCAGTGATCAGTAAAGGGAAAACTGGCGAGTTACAGTGCACAAATGTTTACTAATGCCAGCTGATCCTCTCAGTTATTGGGCCTTTTGTGATGTCATATGCCTAAATACACATTAGAGCTGGGAGGCTTTTCATCTTGTGAAATCTAGTAGCTAGAATCCTTTCTTTGCTGCTCAGGTGTGTTTTTTTTTAATGTATACTTGTCCAAAAAAAATATATAGCATAGAGGTCTTTCAAATAACCATGGTTTTTCAGACAAGATGGTTTTCCGTCAACAAACCAACCAGCTACAAAATTCTGATTTCAAATCTCTCAATAGAGAAAAAGACAGAAAATTACCACTTATAAATTTGTTTTTGTTTTTTTATTTACAAAGGTGGACTACACATAGAATACAGATTTGAGGCAGCTTTTTGGGAAAGCTACAACTTTTTCTTTTACACATCATCACAGCAAAAGATCCTGAGATCAAAGAAAAGATTTAACGACACACACTCCGAATGTTTACGTACGAAAAATATTCTAACAGCGACTGAACACGGCTGGTAGATAGAACATAGGTTCCCCTCAAAAGCTCAAATAAAAACGGATCAACTGCAGATTTATAGTAAATAGCTGTGGATCCAATCTTGTAACTGGATTATCCAGATAACTTATTTGTTGCCTCTTTGTCAGAAAAGGAAATACGTTTTAATATGGTTAATTTCTAACAAACTCTTCCTTTTAAACACTTTGTAACACCATAAGGGCTTTGCTCAAACTAATACTCTTTCATTCTAAGTATATTTATGAGAGTGATTTTACCACATCATATCCTATATTAAATAGGATGATTTAAATAATTTAGATTTTTAAGCAAAATTACATCCCATATTTCTTTACATAAAACAATACAAAAAAAGTCTAAAACACTAAAGTAGGGCAAGGTTTGTTCAACAAGCAGGTACCGTCTTCCCCTTTGAACTCAGCTCCCTCTGGGATAACACAACAGTACAGGACACTCTGATAGAAATCCACTGTATAGAACACAAGCCTATAAGGTTCAGCCATGCAGGATATTTGGTTCACGTTCTATACATTACAGTTCTATCTAACAGGTCCGCAGACAGTACTAACTGCTACAATGTAAACACTTAGTGAGACAGAGCAACAGGAGAGCAGCTGCAACAGTTTCCTGAAGTCCAACAGGAAGAGGCGTTATACGTCACAGTATGTAAGTCCTTCATCCACGGTAGTCCGTAATAGTTTGAAGAATCACAGATGTGATTTGCTACTAGAAGTCCACTTGTTGAGTCGTTTCAAACAGGTGATGTGTTTGTGTGTGCAGCTTGTATTTTATTCTAATATCACAGAGAAGGCGATGGCGGTAGAAGGTTTTAAGCTCATGTTCGCCGGGGCTCCAGCCTGTAGGAGAGCTGTGTTAGCGCCCTCTGGTTGTCAATCACACAGAGTTTCCTGACATAGCCTCGTACCTCCGCTTGATTCTTGTTTGGCTGGCAAATGTCAGGATCTAAGGGAGCACAGAGAATTATTTGGCATGAGAGCTTTGCAAAAGTGTGCATACGTTTTGCACTTTTTCACATTTTGTCACAGTGCAACCACAAATGTAAATACATTTTCTAGGGAATTGATGTGACAAGAACCACTGTGACTTTAATAATGTATGGTATGTGATTGCATTTAATATCCTATACTTTGAGAGCTTGCAAGAGCATCCAGTGCAACCAATCACCTTCAGAAGTTAAGTGACAGAATTAAATTTATGTTAATTAGGATGTGTGTTTGTCAAGCTGGTACAACACATGTATAACCTGCGCCCCATAGAATACCTTGAATTCTCTTGTTTTGTGACAAAATGTGACTTAAAAAAAGAAAGAAAGAATGCTGTTAAATGATAAACAGACTTACTGAATGGTTGGCTTCGACAATGCCTCACTTGTCGAATTGTGTTTGCTATAATACGCTGATGGAGCAAAATACCATAGTTTAGAACTTCCAAGCAAAAAGAACTGTACTACAACAAGAGAAAATATTTATTTGATCTCAAACATGACAAAGAGACTCACCATTTTCTCAAAATTAACCATATTGTCAATAAATGTCTTG